GCGTTCTCATGGCGTCTATTATCAACGCTATGGGAGGTCTATGAAGGTCTAAGGGACGCCCTGCCCGTTGAAAACTGACTCTCAAGGGGTACCCTGTCCGTAATAGAGTGATGGGGAGGGGCCCTGACCGACCGTCAACATGTGACGGGTTGGGAGTGAGAACGTGTTGAATAAACACCAAGCCCTGTGACAGGTATCGCTGGCTGAAAAAATATTTTATCAGTCCCAATACTGATTTTTCTGGTCCAGACATCACAGAGGATGTCGTTTGCAGGTACACAAGGCAAGGCAAGGCAAACACGCAATGCAGCAAGTGTGACGTCCGTCTGTGCTTTTCTGACGACAGGAACTGTTTTTGGGACTACCATTGTATTAATATTTAATAAATGACTATTCATAACAAATATGACTGATGTGTGATTATTATTCATGCTTTATACTGATATAGGGCTAAGTAAGCAATCAATCCTGCAAATGAACCGTTAGTTGTTCAATATATTTATTCAGACAATGTGAGTAGAAATACAGAAAATTCTGCTCCCACCTAAGGCCAACGTTGCAATATTACAACATTTCCCTAAAAACTTACCAAGACGTAAACAATTTGAAAACTCTTTTATTTCTGCTCCAGAGGCTCCCTACAACAACATCTATATTTGGGCTTTACAGGGTTAAAGGTCAGTCCCCCTTCAGTGGCTACACTCGGCAGCTCCCTGTCCTCTTTCACCATTTGCATCGAGGCAGAAGTTACTATGGTGACAGGGGATGTGCTTTTATTTTATTTGACAAGTTGCAGGTTAATTATTATTTTAAAGTTCTAAAAATATTTCGTTTTTAAAGCCAAATATTTTTAGTTTAGAACAGCTTCCTGCTGCTGCTCATGGAAACAATGCTAATGTTAGCTGTATGTGTTCTCTGAGTGAGGACGCTGGCGTGTTTGTCGCCGCTTCACTTCGTAGCCAAAAAAATCGTATTTTTTGTGCTGTTTTTTTCCCGTGTTTTTGTGTTCTAACAACCACAAATCCACTGCAAATAGTCTGCTAAAGCTACGATAACTGTCTGGATCTACCGACTGTGTACCTATTACACTTAAACATTCTCCGACGATCAGCTGTCACTGCTAGCTGACGATCGGCTGTCACTGCTAGCCGCCGTTCAGCCGCTAGTTCCTGCGTAGCTACCAGCCATCCTCTTCAACCTGGGATCTCTGGAGCTCCATTTCCTTCTCCACATCCCCAGTCTGTCCCCTCAATTTAGCTGCTACCCAGTTTCTTGTTAGCATTTCGCTGCTAGCCACTGCTGGCTTATCAATGTAGCTGCCGCCTAGCCCCTGCTTAGCAGCTCGTAGCTAGCCGCTGCTCCTCTGTGCTGCTGACATGGCTCTCTGGAAATACTCCGCTCTGCAAATGTGGAATCTTGTCTGCCACAACACTCCTAACTGCCTCACTACAATACAATCACTTGGACTCCTTCGCCGTCCCCGCTATGTGCATAGGGCTGCACGTCGCAAGATTGTCAACTCTGACCACGACATCCCCACCACACAGACAGACAGGCGGTCCGTCGCACTTCGCCGACGTTATCAGAACACACCCTACGTGCATAGCTGTAATCTGAGACCTCTCAGCTGTATCGACGTCATCAGCCCACTCACCCCCTCGGCCTCAACAACTACAAACACCAATGCAACATTCATGCTGCAGAATGTTTGATCACTGAACAAAAAAGCACCTCTGATCAATGACATCATCACTGATCATAAACTTCATTTCCTCTGCTTAACTGAAACATGGCAATCTGGACAGGATTTCCTATTACTCAACCAAGCCACACCTCCTGCTATGTCTACCTCCAAAAGCCCCGCTCCACTGGTCGGGGCGGTGGGCTGGCTGTAATATACAGGGCAGACATCTCGATCAAAGAGCTTCCTGTACCCAACACCACCTCACTTGAATGTCTTGCCTTCACTCTATCTGGATCTGCACAGCTCCAGGCTGTTCTTATATATCGCCCCCCCAAAGCCTCAGTCTCTGCCATCTTCCTGTCGGAACTATCTGAGCAACTCACCTCAATCTGCTCCATGTCCCCATCTACGCTCCTTCTTGAAGACTTTAACATTCATGTGAACTCACCCTGTTGCACATTTGCATCTGACTTCCTGGCACTTCTGGACTGCTTCAATTTTGAACAGCATGTCTATGATCCCACCCATGCCAAAGGCCACACCCTGGATTTGGTATGTACCACTGGCACAACTGCATCCCACGTGCAGTGCCTCAACCTGGCTGTCTCCGACCATCATGCCATCTGTTCACTGTGCCTATCGCCCTCCCCAGACAGCTTGTACTGCGGACAATCACCTACAGGAGCTTAAAATCAGTGAGCGCACCAGCCATAACCAGCCTCATAGCTAGCCACCTGGCCTCCGATCCCCCTGACACCTCGGTTGACGGCCTGGTAGCCCAGTATAACACTGCTCTCTCCCAGAGTCTCGACTCACTTGCTCCCCTCATTACTCGTACAGTCTCCTTCACCCACTCAGCCCCCTGGTTCACCACCAGTCTCCATTCCATGAAAGTCTCTGGCCGCCACAGAAAATCTGGCCTCATAGTCCATCTGGAGGCGTATAGAGAGCATGTCAAATCTTATAAGGACGCTCTCTCAAAAGCTAAGGCACACTACTACTCCTCACTCATCGGTAACCAGCAACACCACCCCCGTATGGTCTTCTCCACCATAAACCGCCTACTCCGCCCAATTGACCCCCCAACCAAGCAGACGCCCCCGAGCTTTGCACCAGGTTCCTTGACTTCTTCGAGGACAAAGTTAACTCCATCCACCAGGAACTCCAGGCCTCTGCCCCCTCCCATCCACATGCCACACCACCTCCAGTCACTGTTCGCTCAACTCAACACCTGCCTCAATGTTGTCTCTCCTCCTTTGCACCAGTGGATGCCACACAGGTTACCAAACTTGTCTCAAAAGCTAAGGCTACAACCTGCTCCCTCTACCCCATGCCCTCTGCCCTGGTCAAAACTTGCCTACCCATCCTCTGCTCCACCATTGTTAAAATGATCAACTCCTCCCTGGAATCAGGCAAGGTTCCCGCCGTCCTTAAGATAGCAGCTGTCACCCCCATCGTCAAAAAACCTGGTCTCGACCCCAAGGACCCCAGCAACTTACGGCCGATCTCCAACCTTCCTTTTCTTAGCAAGATCATGGAAAGAGCTGTTGCTGCCCAACTCCACCATCATATGTCTGACCATGAGCTCTACGAACCCTTCCAATCAGGCTTCAGATCCAACCACAGCACAGAGACGGCCCTTATTAAAATAACCAATGACCTCTTCATAGCCGCCGATTCAGGCCTCGTCAGCATCCTTATCCTCCTGGACATCTCCGCCACATTCGACACAGTCTCCCACACTATTCTACTCAACCGCCTATCCCTCTACCATGGCCTCTCCGGTACAGCCCTCTCCTGGTTCCATTCCTACCTCTCCAACAGGCAACAGTTTGTGACCATCGGAAAATCGAGCTCTCCCCCAGCCCCTGTCAACCAAGGTGTGCCGCAAGGTTCGGTGCTCGGCCCCCTTCTATTTAACATCTACATGCTCCCCCTCGGTGAAATCATCCGCCAACATGGTCTCAACTTCCACTCCTATGCCGACTACACCCAACTCTACATCAGTACCAATCCATCATCCCAGCTACCCCTACTGTCACTAGTCAACTGCCTCCGCGACATCCACGCCTGGATGTCAAAAAATCTACTTAAACTCAACAATAACAAAACAGAGCTCATGGTTGTGGCCCCAAAAACACTGCTCCGGAAGGTTGGAGATCTGCTCCTCACCGTCGATGGCGGCTCCATCCACTCTGGACTCTAGCCTCACCTTCAACTCCCACATCAGGTCAACTGTCAAAACTGCATTTTTTCACCTACGAAACATCTCCAGACTCCGGCCCTCTCTCCCCGACCCTGTTGCAGAAATATTAATTCATACCTTCATCTCCTCTTGTCTGGACTACTGCAATGGAGTTCTGTTCAGGGTCACCAGCAAAGCCCTGGACAGGCTCCAGTACGTCCAGAACTCTGCAGCCAGGCTCCATTACCCCTACTGCAGCCAGGCTCCATCACCCCTACCCAGGCTCCATCACCCCTACCCTCATCCACCTTCACTGGCCCCCGGTAAAGTCATGCATCCAGTACAAACTCCTCCTGCTAACCTACAAATCTCTCCACTCCCTAGCCCCTCCATACATCTTTGACCTCCTTCAGCCCTACACCCCCTCTCGTCACCTGCGGTCCTCCGACAAAGGGCTGCTCTCCATCCAGCGCTCCAAGCTGAAAACATTTGGCAACAGAGCCTTCAGTGTCGCAGCCCCCACCCTCTGGAATTCTCTCCCCTCTGCAATCAGGAATGCAGACTCTCTGGACACCTTCAAAAAACACCTCAAACACCATCTGTTCACCGAGGCCTTTGACCTCAACTAATATGCAGTACCCAGCAACCTGTTCCTGTTTTGTTTTCTTCAGCCTATGTATCTGTATGACTATTATTACTTTTTTTGTTTTGTTTTGTTACTACCCATTGTAAAGCATCCTTGGGTTTCGTGAAAGGCGCTATAGAAATTGAAATGATTATTATTATTATTATTAGCAGTAATGCTGGGATCCTAAAGATCAAAAACAATGAACGGAAACTTAGAAATGATAAGATTAGGTACGTTTTTGTCCCAGGGAGCTACTGTTCAACAGCTGCATTAAACCTAAAACATATTGTGGCCAAAGGCCCATTAAAATAACATTCAGAGAGGAAACTATGTAAATATTGCACATGACTCGCAAAATGAATCACTAATCATTTACATGTGCGGTTACACAATGACAGATATAGTTCTAGTTTTGTTAGGGTATTCCTACCTTGGAGAATAGCCCTGCAGGCTGTGTGTCACTCTGTCTCACTCCCTGGTGTGTGTGCTCTCCTCTCTTACAGTGTCTTGAAGCATTCTGTGGACGCTACCTTTGAAGACAAGGGCCCCAGTCCAGGCTACAGGATAGAAATGTCCATCTTCTATGTGGTGTATTTCGTGGTCTTCCCTTTCTTTTTTGTCAACATCTTCGTTGCTCTGATCATCATCACCTTCCAGGAGCAGGGAGACAAGGCCATGTCTGAGTGCAGCTTGGAAAAGAATGAGGTAAAGCAGAAAGACGATGTCATCTGGACAGTCTGAATCCAGTCTGAATCCCGCGCACACTGCTGTAATCACTATCTCCATCATCAGGTTTACCTAATTTCGCCTTTTTGTTTGCTGGATAATCTAAAATGTTATGAACAGATTTTCTAAAAACATTGAAGAAAGGCTTGTGATAAAGGAGCCTGAGGAGCTCATATATACTGAGGCACAACCAACACGTCTTAAAAATGTTTGCAGACAAAGGTTTTGCTTATTGGTTTTATGGAGGTGTGATAAGTGTGTGTATTAGAGAGAATGTATAATTACCTCATTTTTAAATGTTGACACTGAGCACATTTAGTTTAGTACAGCACAGTGAAAACACATTGATAAAGCCATGTAAGAAATTCTCGTTCAATTTTGTGAACTGAAAAAAAAAAGCAGCAAGGACCAGAATGTTTGTTCGCTCACTGGTAATCAACCAAGACTGGGGTTTGCCAGCAGATGCTTTCACCTCACACAGACAGTGAAGCAGAGCTGTGCTTTCTCTGTTACAGAGGGCTTGTATTGACTTTGCCATAAATGCCAAACCTCTGACCCGCTACATGCCCCAGAACACACAGTCCTTCCAGTACAGGATGTGGAAGTTTGTGGTCTCACCTCCATTTGAGTACTCCATCATGATCATGATTGCCCTCAACACTGTGGTGCTTATGATGAAGGTAAGAACTTATGAGGGGGATATTACCAACATAATGCTAAATGTATGTCGTTTGTTAGGCCTTTTTGAATGTTATATGGAGTCAGTCCTGGATTCAATAGCTCGTGAAAGTAACATCTTGACACTTTGAGTCTGCTAAGTTTGTTCCCTGATACCTTTCTCACGTCTGTACAGTAAATATGAAGCAATTGCCAGAAGCTATTTCATTAGCATAAAGCCTGGAGGAAACAGCTAGCCAGCCTCTGTATAAAGGTAAAAACATGTTTAAAACCTAGAATGAGATGATGGCCATCCACATGCAGAAAGCATGTACAGAAAGTAGCTTCATACAGTATGCACTGAACAAACTGAAACAATTACTTCAATTAAATGTATTCTGTCAACACATGTTGCATAACTGTATTAGGTTAGTTGAAAGCAATAATATTAAGTTGAACCTAATATGTTTTGTTTGAACATTATATTATTGCTTTCAAAACTCTGTTGACATAATACATTTAATTAAAGTCTACATTTAGGTTTTTCAGTGAGGGAACTGGGATCAGTGTGGTGTTCATTACCTTGCTCAAGGGCACCATTGCAGTGCCTACGACGTGAACCGGCACCTCTCAAAGTACCGGTTCACACCAAATAACAGTTTTCCATAATCCCAAAACAATAAATAAAAAATATTACTCCAAAATGTCAGCAAGATAACTTTATATGACGTTGTCTTTCAGTTCCATGGAGCTCCAGACTTTTATGAAGCAATGCTGAAGAACCTCAACATCGTCTTCACCACTCTCTTTTCTCTGGAGTGTATCCTCAAGATCATTGCTTTTGGTCCATTGGTGGGTAATATCAATGAAACAACGTTACAAACTCTGAGTAATGAATCACAACTAATGATTTCAACTTTTGCTTCTCAGAACTACCTAAAGGATGCCTGGAACGTGTTTGACTTTGTCACAGTGTTGGGCAGCATCACTGACATCCTGGTGACTGAAATCAATGTAAGAGCATTTTTCTGAAACACCAATAATTAGAATAAAATCCTGTTTGTTCAGCAGCCCGTTATCCAGAAAACAGATGCCCATTGTTCCAAAGACCCATTGCTCCAAAAACACACTAGTCCAACAAACAGTAGTGACTTGTTATTATGCGAATTGACTGAAGTTTTTTCATCTTAAGGCGAATTACATAATAGGAAAAATGCCACCCTACAAAGTCCCTATAGCCTCTGATTGGCTAGGCACTTTGTCGGTTGAGTTGGTATAGTTTATGCACGAGGGGTTTGTTTATGTGCAGGGTAAAACATCTGGGGAGGACAACAAGAAGCAGAGTTGGGCAGTGTAAGGAAAATAATATCAATATTGGATCAAGAAAGTCTGGTGACGTCATGCCACCTGCAATCCTTCTCTTGCGATGGAGTGTTTGTTTCAGTGCGGTGTGTAATCAGAGCTATCAGGCCTTGGGAGCAATGGTCGGTTGCTTTAGTTGCTGTCATATGAATGCACTTTGTTCTTTGACAGCCTTGTTATCTTTCCAGACACTCTGTGGACCTGCATGCATGTGTGTACTGTGAAGTAGCTTTTGACTGATTTATATGTGTGTATTTGGTGAGCTGTATCAGTTTATGTTGGGCAATATTACTGTTCCTGTTCTCCCGCCTCTCTGTCCTCTCTCCTCACCTCCCTCTGTTATCCCTCTGTCTGTCTGTCTGTCTGTCTGTCTGTCTGTCTGTCTGTCTGTCTGTCTGTCTCTCTCTCTCTCTCTCTCTCTCTCTCTCTCTCTCTCTCTCTCTCTCTCTCTCTCTCTCTCTCTCTCTCTCTCTCTCTCTCTCTCTCTCTCTCGCTCTACGTTTCCATCTTGTCAACTGTCCTCCCTGGTGATGCCATGCCCTGGTCCCAAACATCACTAGACTACGGTGAGTGAATTTGCCTGCTCTTAGCTTGCCTTCGTTCTTATTTAATATATAAACAATATATGATATGATCTATAGATCAGGCTATGAATGATACATGAACAAACCTCTCTGCGTAAACCATCAGAATATAGATAGTGATTGGACTAGAACAGTAAGTGCTACTGAAGCAGATAATTCAGACTTTTTGAGAAGACAGCCTTTAAACATATGAAATGTAGACACTGCAGGTGAATTTTTAACTAATATCTGTTGACATGGAAAATCCCCAGAATCCATGCCTGAGGGGGCTTTATTCACTATTGTGTCAGTCTTTTTACAACAGGAAGTGAATTGACGTAATATATTTTATCAAGCCATCATTGCAAAGATAAAAAGGTGTCTTGCAAACCTGTCTTTCTGTTATCATGAATTTCTGATGACATCAGAGGGGTTACTTTCTCAGACTGGACAAAGCTCCTCCAGCTTCTGATGTTCAAATGCACCTTGAGGCCCAAAGCAGGAGATGGTTTGTTTCTCCTCATATCCTTGAGTGTCCAGTTAGATGAATAGAACATCAGATGTGCTCTGTGTGTAGTGTAGATTTATGTCTGCCCTATTTCACAATAAAGGAAAGACTCACAAAGTTTGGTAAGAAATCCCTTTTTGTTTCCACAGACTGTTTCTTTTGTGATGTTACAAGGAAGTAACATCAAGCCGAAATCTTAAACTTAAAAGAATAGAAGATTATATTTCAATCACGTACATTGAAATGTCTTTAAGGCAGCGACGTGCAGTCAGGGGAGGCAGAGCCTCACCTGTCATACTCCAATGTAACGGAAAAATAACTAAAGAAAAACTAAATAGTAATAATAATAAAATGTCTCCACTGATCTGTGTTGTAAGTGTGATTTCTGTTTGATTCCAATCGCTTTTTATAGTCAAAATCAGCAAATTGGCTGAGCTCCGCTACAACTACGGGTAGCGATGAGAAGTGAGGCAGGGACGAGCTCTGCCTCTCGTAAATCCACAGTAACTGGCTGGAGCGCGGGCACTAATTTAACGCGGGCACTTATTTTGTGAGCGCCCTCAAGCCAGTTACTGTGTGGTGAGGTGAGGCACAGATGAGCTCTGCCTCACCTCAGAATGCGGGCCCTAAGCGCATGCCTGCACCATCTCACTGTATGTCACCAATGTAATGTTTGTAGATCCCTTTATTACATTTATCCTCGCCATCCATAGTCTCTAAATAACTTATTTCATGTATATTTAGGCTCGCTGGTCTCATCATACAACAGCAATGAAAAAAGCACCAGGGGAGGCAGCCATAACCTCTGCCGCACTGAAGGGGGCGCACATGAGCCCACAGGTTCTTGTTGCTACTGTTATTCTACACAGAGACGGTAGATGCAAACAACAAGCTAGACTTTTGAAACTAGAGGAAGATAAGGAGGACTTTTACAAAAAAGTAATAGAGATTGTTGTCCAGAAGGATATAGCATGGACTTCATCTTCAAGTCAAGGTAAGACCACAATTGTAATGAAAATGGGATCTTACTAAGAAAGAACAATCCAATATTTAAATTGTGGGTAGGCCTATCCTTTTGTTGAACGGTCTGTTTAAAATGAATCGAAGCATCAGACTAAAAAAGCTTTTGAAAATAACCGAATATTTCGATTAAGGTCAAAATATCATATTTGTAAATCTGACTCTGAAAGAGTCAGTGCCTCACCAGCCATGAACCTCACCGCACGTCACTGCTTTAAGGAGTGATCTCTGGGCCATGATACAGATTTATATCAGCTCCTGGAAAATAGAGAGTCAGGATTAGTAAATTGAGAAGGCTTTCTCAACCCATGACCCAGAATATTGTAAAATCATAGTTCTGATGAGTAATGACTGAAGCTGAGGTGACTTTAATAAGCCCTGGTAAGGCTGTGTTCAGTGAGGGTATGTGGTTGATAATGGTTTGATGTCGTCTTTCTAACAGGACAGGCTGCTGAACCTGAGCTTCCTGAGGCTGTTCAGAGCGGCCCGGCTCATCAAGCTGCTGAGACAGGGCTACACCATCCGCATCCTGCTCTGGACCTTTGTCCAGTCCTTCAAGGTGCTCACACACCTGCACTTTTACACACTCACACACTCACATAAGGAAAAATACATAAGAAAAATACATTTCATATAAAAGTGCAGGTCGTCGTATGAAGGAGGTAAGAACAGGGTTGGTGGATGGGTCAAACAAACACAGGACATGTTCACTGTTCATGTCTCATGTGAAACCAAAAGTCAACATTGACTTATTTTTTAAGTTCTCTTTCTTTAGGAACACATTTGAGAATGCATATTTGCTGTTTGGGAACATTGTTTTTAAGAGACAGGGTGGACATATGTGTTTGTCAGGCCTATGTGTGTTTGTGAAATAATATTGGAGGGATTGTAAAGTCATTTGTCTTCTTTTACTGCGCTCAAAAATTCCTGCCTGGAATGTGTAAATGTGTTCTTGTTTTCCTGTTTCATGTTTCCTTTCCCCCAGGCCCTGCCTTATGTTTGCCTTCTGATTGCTATGCTGTTCTTCATCTATGCCATCATTGGGATGCAGGTGGGTAATGCTGTGCTCGCGGAGGTCATGATATTCATGTTGTGGTTTACCATTCCTAATAAAAAAAAAGGAAAACAGTACATATCCATTTCCCTCACTGTCTCTGCTGTAGGTGTTTGGCAACATTGCGATGAATGAGGACACAGCCATTAATCACCACAACAACTTTCGCACTTTTCTCCAAGCTCTCATGCTGCTGTTCAGGTATACAGTAACAAGCTTTATTATAATTGACGTATATATCACAAGCATTTTGGATAACTTTTACACTTATGGACAGTTTATGAAGACATTTACACTTGTACTTTCTACAAAATACACTTAGTTAAGAATCAACTATGTCAAATATCTACGACCGAGTATAAACACTTTTACCCATATACAGTATGTATAATCATAATGAGATTATCACTACTGATCCACTCATAGGTAAGAACATTTTAATCTTGTGGCTTTAACGCAATGGCTAGTTGAAGCCAATTTGACAAAACTGACTGTCAAGATCTTGTGCAATAAACATGCGATGTGCAATATAAACACTTACAGTACCCGTCAAAAGTTTGGACACACCTTGAAATTCGAAGTTATTTATTTATTTTAAATGTTCCTTCATTGTAGATGTATACTTCAAAACTATAAAAGAACACATATGGAATTATATAGTAAACAAAAAAGTGTGAAAAAATCCAGAATATGATTTATATTTTGCTGGCTACTGCAGAATGCTGTGGTAGCCATGCTGGTTAAGTGTGCCTTGAGTCTTGAATAAATCACCAACAGTGTCACCAGAAAGCGTCTCACAAAGACACGGAGGTTGGAACAAATTTGGACCCATCAGACCAAGTGTTTCTTGGCCCAAACAATTCTCTTCTTCTTGTTGTTCATCTTCAGTAGTCGATCTTTGCAGCGATTGGACCATGAAGGCCTGATTCAAGCAGTCTCCTCTGAACAGTGGAGGTTGAGATGATCTGCTACTTGAGCTCTGTGACCATTTATGTGGGCTCTAATGTGAGGTGCTTTAATTTGCAGTTTCTGAGGCTGGTAACTGATGTATTTATCCTCTGAGCAGAGGTAACTGATGTATTTATCCTCTGAGCAGATGTAACTCTGGCTCTTCCTTTCCCGGGGGGGGGGGGGGGGTCCTCATGAGAGCGAGTTTCATCATAGCGTTCGATGGTTTTTGCGACTGCACTTGAGGATACATTCAAAGTTCTTGACATTTTCTGGATCGACTGGCCTTCATTTCTTAAAGTGATGAAGGACGGTCGTTTCTCTTTTCTGAGTTGAGTCGTTCTTGCCATGATATGGATTACAGCAGTAGTCAAATAGGGCTTTCCACTGTGCACTAACCCTACCTCTGCACAACACAACTGATGCTCTCAAACACATTCAGAAGGCAAGTCATTCCACAAATTGACTCTTGACAAGGCACACGTGTTAACTGAAAACCATTCCAGGAGACGAACTCATGAAGCTGACTGAGAGTAGCCAAGAGTGTGCAAAGCTGAACGGGGCTACTTTGAAGAATCTAAAATAAAAATCATATTCTGGATTTGTTGACACATTTTTGTTAACTAGATAATTCAATATGTGTTCTTTCATAGTTTTGATGTCTTCAGTATTAATCTACAAAGTAGAACAAATTAAAATAGATAAAAAACTTTGAATTTGAAGGTGTGTCCAAACTTTTGACTGGTAGTGTATTTGCAATTATATTGGTGCTATAATCACTTTATGTGAAAAATACACCTTTCATAAATGTCCTCAATCTTTTTCAAGGTCACAATACTTAATATGCTATTTATGTCATTTAGTTGTACTTAAATTGCTGCTACACATTTTGTAGCCATGGTTGTGTACTTGTTTGGCTGTGTGACTATTAAAGGAATTGCGATTCTGATTCTGAATTTGAACTACTTCTCATTCTACATTATAATGTCTGTTTAATATCCGTGGAGCTGTAGCTGATAAAAAATGCTGCCAGCCATGTATTTCTCTTCAGGTATAGTCTGTCTCTCTCTCTGCCTCTGTTCTATCAGGAGTGCAACTGGTGAGGCCTGGCACGAGATCATGTTGTCATGTCTGAGTCACCGAGTCTGTGACGAGCGATCCGGCTCCCAGGGGAAAGAGTGCGGCAGTGATTTTGCTTACTTCTACTTTGTCTCCTTCATCTTTCTCTGCTCCTTCCTGGTTAGTCTGAAGTCTGCCAGAGCATTACATTCAGATGTGACATGTTGGTTTTGCAGGAAGCTCACATTGATCTCATCCCTAGGTCAATAAATCTACTTAGGTTTTAAACCTGATTCTGATTCTTCAAGAACTAGCGTGATAACAAAGTTGATTGCTTATTTATTCAGTTCATTCAGTTTCTGTTAAAGTGACATATCTGTATCAGAATCCCTTCTTTGGAGCCGTTCCTCTTTATTGATGCAGTTTATATACTGACAGAGCAGGGTGGTTGTTGTCTTTAGTCACTTACACACAAAAACATGAGGAAATTGTTGAAATATACTGCTAGTTTCAGCACCTGGTCGAACACAGGAGTAACTGTGCTTTATGTTTTGCAGATGCTGAACCTGTTTGTGGCTGTGATAATGGATAACTTTGAGTACCTAACCAGAGACTCCTCCATCCTGGGGCCTCATCACCTCGATGAGTTCATCCGGGTGTGGGCCGAGTACGACCCGGCTGCATGGTATGTTCACGCCTCCCTCTGGGCCCCCGAGAGTAGCATACAAAGTAGAGTGGGGGGAACAGATACCCTAACTTTACTACTATCTTTCCCCTTTGTTACCAAGGTTACTAAATGCGGCCTTGTGCAGAAGCCTTGTTCCTATAGCTTGTTGTATGCAGTCAGCCCGATGATTATTGATTTACTGTTGTCTTGAACGTTTGTTTATTTATGTGCTTGTTCTTCTCCACAGCGGACGGATTTCCTATAAGGATATGTACAATTTGTTACGAATTATCTCACCCCCCCTTGGCTTAGGGAAGAACTGCCCTAATAGGGTAGCATACAAGGTTTGCAAATACCTGACATTTCCGTCACTAGGGTGCTTTGTGTACTTCTATGCCAAGAGACTTTAAACTGAATGGCTGTGCACCAATGAAATCGCCTTTACACTAGCACCCGCCACTTCAAACTGACTGGCTTTGGTTGATGATGTCGGAGTGGAAACAAAGCTTTCAAAGCCACTGCAAAGTTATACAGCACACACATTTTAATAATCAGCATCAAAGTACTGATCACTAGTTTCAGGACATGTGTATACAACGTGTAAAACATCGAGGCATATTTGTTATATGAAAAAAGACTTGACTCAATCTTAAAAAATATGAATAAGGTCCAAAGCCTGATGAAGGATTTAATATTTTGATGGAGATGTCTCTGCCTCAGACCTATCTTGTGCTGGCATTGAAACCTTTGTCTCCGTGCACCCTGGTTCCAGTGGAATGTCTGCTGGCATGCTGAGGCAGACATCCCGTTAAGATGCTGTCATTTCTCTTCCCTCCCATCAGCATTCTGTGTGTTGGGTAAACCCATCCTCCCTTCTTCTCTCCCTCCTCCCCTTTCCCACCAAACTCACTCTTTACCACTCCATGTTTCCTGTCAGGGATCCTGAGCTCCACAGCGATGCATCCCTGTGCCCCGCCACCGCGGCCGAGGATGACATCCACCTTCCATCTCACCCTAGGAAATCTACTAACACAGATTTCTGTTTCTCCTTTCCATTATTCTCCTGTTCTTTTGTTCTTCTTCCTTTGTTCCTCACCTCCTTCTCTAACTCCCCATCCTTCTCTGTTTGCGTTTTGTTTTGTTTATTTCTGATTTCCTACCCTGTCAAGTGGCCGTATCAAGTACCTCGATATGTATCAGATGCTGCTCCACATGTCCCCGCCGTTAGGTTTGGGAAAGAAATGTCCGCCAAGAGTCGCCTACAAGGTAGACCCTCACCCTCCTCCACCTTCTCTCCTGTGCTCCACAGTCTTTCTCCCATTGGCGTGAACTCAAGCCAATGTGAACGTCTGTGCTCTGCAGTGTTCCCTCCTCTCTTCACTTTGTTTTGCTAGTGCGCTGATATTTTTGGTCTAAGCCCCTACCTCATCTTTACTGTCTGTACTCTTTCTTTCTCTCCTAAGACCCATCTCCTGTACTCTTTCTTTCTCTCCTAAGACCCATCTCCTGTACTCTTTATTTCTCTCCTAAGACCCATCTCCAATGATAACAGAGCTTAAAGAGCCTGTGACAAAGGTTTCCCCCATCATCCAAACCCATCAATTTTAGTAAATATTGTCCCCTTGAAAACCGTTACTGAACTGATTTTGGATATTTGTACTTTGATAACCATTAATCTGCCCTTCAATGTTGACCATATTCTGGATCTTCTCGGGGATTCTTCAAATCCCACCAAATTATGTGTGACGTCATTGCAGGCCAAGAGCTCCAGCTGCACCGTTCCGGATCCCAGCATCTGCATGTAAACGCACGATGGTGCACACAGCAGCAAGCTCAGACAGCGATGACAGTTTCATTTTGAACGTGTCTGAGAGCTCATATGAAGCTGAAGGATCGGTTTATGTTGTATCTGTTAGAAGTTTAGGAATTAGGTGCGTCAATATGGGCGATCATACGGTCATGTAGCCAGTGGTGGACTGGGACTAAAAATCATCCCGGGACTCTCGACCGGCCCACTTCGCTAGTAAATTGTCAACGGGGGGAGTTGGGGATGTGCTAGTGATTTATCCGACCGGCCCACTTCGGTACCGGCCCCTCGGGATTCGTCCCGATGGCCAGTCCGCCACTGCACCCAGCCCAGCCCACGTAAACTGTCAACGGGGGGAGCCTCGCTGCGGGGAAACGGTGGACCTAGTGTCCCGATCGGAGTGGGAATAATAATAATAATAATCCGTGCATTTTATCCATGAATTTCGCCAACATTGTGGTAAAGAAAACACATGTTTAATCCATGTTGGTGTACTACAACTACAAAAAGCATCGGTTTGTTTTCTCATCAGGAAATGCAGACCGGCTCAAACAAACTATTTTTAATCATCATCCTCACGATCATTTAATGTATCATATGTTCGCCGAATTGACATGAAAGCACTAATAAATGTAGTTTCATCCACTTGAGTTTACAACTACAAAAATAATCGATTTGTTTTTATATCACATCCTACGGGAGGAAATTCAGTAGCTCTCACTACCGATTTGTAATCCTAATGTAATCATCATCTTCACCACGATCATTTATGTTTATGTTCGCCGAATTGACATGAAAGCACTGACAAATATGAATATAGTGTAGTCAACTTCATTAAAACGTTATTAACGTGCCTAAACCATACTGTATATATAAATGGACGAAGTGTCATTTTGACATCACCCATAGGATTCTGCAGAGTTGCCGAGAAACCCTTAGTAGGCGGAGTCGGCCACTAACGGCTTGACAGCAACGTCAGTCTAATCCCGCCTGCTGCAAATAAGGGCAAAGAGGCGGAGCCGAGGCGGAGCCGAGGCGGAGCCGAGGCGGAGCCGAGGCGGAGCCGAGGCGGAGCCGAGGCGGAGCCGAGGCGGAGCCGAGGCGGAGCCGAGGCGGAGCCGAGGCGGAGCCGAGGCGGAGCCGAGGCGGAGCCGAGGCGGAGCCGAGGCGGAGCCGAGGCGGAGCCGAGGCGGAGCCTGCTGCCTCCGAATTGGAAGTAAACAGAGCTAGCTCAAGCTAAGAAGCTAAGCTAACATGAAATACATGCATACCAAGTGACTGCTAACAGTGTAGTTCCCCTATATAAACGTTACATTCATAATCAAATGAGACAATCTGCAAGAGAATTAGCTATATTTTTGCGATGTTCGAAATGATTGATATTTATCGGAACGGTATCGCACCTTCTTTTTTAAACTGACGGTACGAGATTACCAGTAGCCCAATATTTCATTGCACAACAGTTGTTGGGAGGCTGTCACAGGCTCTTTAAGACATACAGTTATTTTAATCAACATACCTATACTTAATTATGCAGGATTCTTTCTCCCTTTTGTTGTAATATTATTATTTCCTTTGAATGGTATACCCCGGTTTGACTCTGTGGAGCAGTGGGTGTGTGTGTGTTACTGTGAGGCTGTGTGTGTGTGTGTGTGTGTGTGTGTGTGTGTGTGTGTGAGCTCTTGTAGGTTAGTGTTTGTGTAGCTTCTGTTGCTTTTCTGTGGGAGTAATACTATGTGCTTCTCACTTTATGATTCTGTCTTTGCTGCCCATCCCCTTTTTCTCTCAGCTCATCTCAGTCTATCCACTGTTGGAAATATTTGTGTGTGTGTTTGTCTGTGCGTGTGTATTTATTTTAAGATAAATATTGATTAGGATGGCATTTCCACCTGATAAAGCAGTTGGTGGGATCTGTATCTGGATGGCTTATGCAGAAGGGCCAAACACTATAATTTGTCAAATATCCACTTGAGTCTGGCTCGAATAAGGAGCAATCTCCATCGACCCCTTATGTGCCCAGATCCCATTAGAACTTTAGAGACAATTGCTATTTTTTAGATCAGGTTGGAGTTGCTGGAGCCCCCTCTTTATACTTGAGTTTGAGTTGAGTTGAATTGAGTTTTACAACCAGACTTTCATTCAAGTCAAAACAATAACAGACGACTTTGATGGCACAGTGAGAAGCATGGGATTATGGAAATATTTATTTGCTTTTCCTGGTCAGGATTCCTTCAGTGTTCCTTGCCCCACACTTGTCAGTTTCACGTTTAATATCACTCTTTCCAGATGTCTGATGACTCAAATCCTATATGTGTATCCAACAATTGTGGCTTAAAACTTCTGGCAGACAACTACAACGCTGCATGCGGGGGTGTGACGCCACACAGGCACCCAGATTAAATGCAATATTGATTCATGTTAGAGAATTATCTAGGTTTTAAAAATGGTAGTAAACATTAAGTGTAATGTGTAATATATTAACAACTCAATAGAATATAACCGGTCTAGTAGTTTTGACCCTTTTAAACTGTAAATTAAACAAACTTCCACATGTTTTGTTGAAATCTGCCATGTTGATCTTCTTGACCCCATTTTTGCATATCTTCTATGAGGCTTTAAAAAGGATTGATATTTAAATCAAATATAGCTTCTCAATTGCTTTACATGTTAAACACCTGCAGCATAGGACATTACTAACTGTTCTCCTGTCTGTGTAATTGATTGTGCAGCATGTAGTTGTTTGTGCGTTAGTGGAATGACAGACCACATGCATATTTGTGTGTGTGTGTGTGTGTGTGTGTGTGTGTGTGTGTGTGTGTGTGTGTGTGTGTGTGTGTGTGTGTGTGTGTGTGTGTGTGTGTGTGTGTGTGTGTGTGTGTGTGTGTGTGTGTGTGTGTGTGTGTGTGTGTGTGTGTGTGTGTGTGTGTGGTGTGTGTGTGTGTGGTGTGGGTGTGTGTGGTGTGTGTGTGTGTGTGTGTGTGTGTGTGTGTGTGTGTGAGTGAGTGAGTGAGTGAGTGAGGAGTGAGTGAGTGAGTGAGTGAGTGAGTGAGTGAGTGAGTGAGTGAGTTGAGTGAGTGAGTGAGTGAGTGAGTGAGTGAGTGAGTGAGTGAGTGAGTGAGTGAGTGAGTGAGTGAGTGAGTTCCTCAGCTCTCCACCCCCATCTCTTTCTGACTATGGTCTGTCTTACTCTCTGCACTGCCACTGATAGCACATGTAGGTGAATGCTTTTTGTGTCCAGGGGAGCTCAACTCAAACACAAACAATCCAATAGCATTGTGTATGCATCTCGTGGGGGCATAAGTCCTATACGAACAAAGTATTGCTTCTAAGGCTGCCCAGGCTTGGTGGAATACACACTCTTTATGTAGCATACTACAATACAGTACAATAGAGCATACTCAACCATCTCAACACCAAGTTGATGACTGCTAGGATAGCAACCAGAGTCGAGCTCCTGCGACTGTCCAGGCAACGTCATGGTTATGCGTTACATGCCTACTCTCACCTTTATTTTGGTCAATATCAGTCTTGCACCAGTGCACTTTGACTTGCAGCGTAGTGCATACTGTAGCAAATAGCAGTGAATGTGAATGTGTAGTTTGTCACCTCTGTACGTTCTTGTAGAGAAGGCCTTTTGTGTGCTGTCTCAGTAACGTTTTATCTATTGCCAATGTTGTACACATAATAACAAAATTTAGCAAGTCACCTTTAAGGTACTTTATGCTAACAGAGTGAATCCATGGCGGGTATTGAAGGGCAGCAGCACATAGACTGCTTTCTCTGGGTGACCTGTATGTTCTGCTGGGGCTGTCTGCTATCACTCAGTCATCTAAAGTCTCTCTGTCACAACTCGTCTCCTCTCCTCAGCGCCTTGTCAAAATGAACATGCCCATCGCCGAGGACAACAGCGTCCACTTCACCTCCACCCTGATGGCCCTCATCCGCACTGCCCTGGAGATCAAACTGGCCTCAGGTTAGAAAACCACACCACACTATCATGTGGCTAGAATAGAGAATTGTATGACATCCTCTATGGTTTCCACTCGAGATAAGACATAATATGAATAATGTTAACCTTGCATCCCTCTGACCTTTGGTTTGAGAAAATAAAATACAGAAGTAGCCATTTCAGAGTTTCCATGCCATCACAGCAAATACAGGGCAGTCTAACAAGTCTGAACACACAACGCATTTTCTACTGACTTCTGTTGGTGCCTTTCCATTCATCTGTTTAAATGCACAAAATCCAGAACTGCACTTGAAACATTAAATGTGTGTGCCATCGAGTGGCCCATGGTGGTGGGGGGTTATGGTATGGGCAGGCGTATGTTATGGACGACGAACACAGGCCACTCGATTCACAACATTACCCTAACCCTACCCCTCACACCAGATACTGACTGGTTTTCGGACCCCCCCAATAAAGCAAAAATGCACGTTTCAGAGTGGCCTTTTATTGTGGACAGCCTAAGGCACACCTGTGCAATAATCATGCTGTCTAATCAGCATCTTGATATGCCACACCTTTGAGGTGGGATGGATTATCTCGGCAAAGGAGAAGTGCTCACTATCACAGATTTTTTCAGATTTGTGAACAATATTTGAGAGAAATGGTTATTTTGTGTATATAGAAAATGTTTTAGATCTTTGAGTTCATCTCTTGAAAAATGGGAGCAAAAACAAAAGTGTTGCGTTTATATTTTTGTTCAGTGTAGTTGGAAGATGATTATTTTTACTATCTCTCCTTCACTCCCTTTTTTATTACAACACTTTATACAGTTCTGTGGCTGGCAGTTGATCTATGTGTTTTAATTAAAAGGTTAAAAGTGTGTCTCTGTGTATCTCCAGGCATGGTAGCCCAGCGACTCTCTGACGCTGAGTTAAAGAAGGAGCTGTCCACAGTGTGGCCCAGCCTCTCTCAGAAGACCATGGATCTGCTGGTAACCCCACACACAGGTAAGGCTCTCACCAACATCACATTCTGAACCCTCAGACACTCTCCTTGTTCCAACCTGAAGGCAGTGATCTGGTGGGAGACACATTGTTTCAAATATAGGCTAAAGTCCGTTTTTAATAAAAGTAACTAAATGTGTAAGTGTATTTTTACTATGATATGTTTTATAGATGTTAGTGTGCAAGAGTGCATGCCTGTAGACACAACTTACTCTGCCGTTTTGCATCCACCTTTTGGTAAGAAGTATTCTCCACCAAATTCACACACAGATCCATTTCCCTACAATTCTGTCAATGCGTTGTTTCCCCTAAAAATCTATTTTAATTGCTTTCTGTGAATTAATCAAACCACTCACTGTACAGAGTAATACTTTCCTTTATCTTATGTAAACCACTAGGGAGATCACAGGGTAAATATAAATGAATTGTGGAGTAAGGAATGACTCAGCACATTTTCTTTCTCATTTTGATTCTTTAGTCCTCTCCTCTCCTGTTCTCCTCTCCTGTTAGAGTCGGGAGGGCTGATAATTTATTCCGGCAAATTACTCATGCCTACTAATTGACCTAACCGAAGTTATTGAGTCTATGTAAATGTACTGCTTGGCTCAGATCCACCAACGTCAGCAAGATCTCACCTCTATTAACTCCTGAAGAACCAGGTTCAATGAACTGCTTTTTCAATTCAGACAACTCTCTTAAATCTGTTTAAGCGATCCCGAAGGATTTTGATTTCAGTAAATGAGGTGTGGCCCTACCTAAGTGTGAGTATGGCAGGGTGCAATCTTACCTTTTAAGCAGAAGAGGAGAGCGCAGATGTCTTTTAAGTTGTCCCAATCCAAAAGGTGGGATCAGTTTATTTGAAGAAAAATGGTCCAAACGTATAGAGTTTTTACCTTCTCTCGTTACAACATTATAATCATACTAAACGTATCATGCTGTGATCATGTTCTAATATGCAACCCTAAATCACAGTTTTACATTTATTAGACTAAATTGTAACTTCAACTGCCCAATTCAGTTGTGATATTTAAATCTCCCGATACAATTTAGAGGCATTGCCTCATAAATGACCGGTGATAATAAAAAGCACATTCAAACTTTCATTCACCAAATCAATTCACATCAATTCCATACCTATATTCCGACAGGTGGCAGGAGCTAACATTCACAAACACATACCTATATTCCGACAGATGGCGGGTAACATTAACAAACACATACCTACAGTATATTCCGCATGAATTCGGAGGAAGATCCTCACAGGTGGCGGGTACTAATACTCACAAACACACTCCTATATTCCGACAGATGGCGGGTACTAACATTCACAAACACATACAGTACCTATATTCCGCATGAATTCGGAGGAAGATCCTCACAGGTGGCGGGTACTAATACTCACAAACACACTCCTATATTCCGACAGATGGCAGGTACTAACATTCACAAACACATACCTATATTCCGCATGAATTCGGAGGAAGATCCTCACAGGTACTAATACTCACAAACACATATTAATTCATTCCAATCATTCAACCCAGAAATTCGAGAGATATTTACCAAGTTTGAGAGAACCTTACCGAGAGCAAAACCCCAGCTCTCCAGGGAGAGAGCTTTACTGGGAGAGAGTATACCAGGGGAACCCCCCCCCTCTCTCTTCTTTATCAATAAGTCAGGAGCCCCCCTCCTTATGCACCGCTGTAAAGCCCCTGTCACACTGTCCCGAAATTGACACCCGATGGACACACAAATATGGAATTGTGAATTTCGCACGAAGATGGCCCCGAACCACACACGAAGGCAACATTTACATTACATTTAAGACATACAACTGCAACGAAAGTAACACAAACAATTATGTTAAAGTACTATGATACAGTACTGATATTTTCAGACTTTGTTCTTTACTTTATCCGTCTTTATATGTAGAAGATTAAGTTTTCTCCATCATGTTGTTTCCATAGCAACAACAACTTTCTGTCAACTCGCCTTCAAAATAATATATTATATCCTTTTTAGTTTCATAGAACATAAATTGGGTTGTGTACATGATTTTGTTGTGCAATAAAACAACCCGATGGACACACGATAAAGGAAATGTTCAAATTCGGCTCTGATCGTAGCAACATCTGGCCATTCGTGAGGGCATCTTAAGCCATCGTATGATCGCTGGTGGAGTTTCTCACAACTTCGTGAGCGGTGGCAAAATCTTTGGCATAACAAAAAATAGCCGAAGGACCTTGCGAAGGTTCATTTTCGTGTTGAATTCGTGTGTCCATTTTGCCCTTCGTAAGGCCATCGTGAGGGCATCTTGTTATCATCAGTGCCATCGGGCATTCGCCCCGATCAGAGTGATGGTGAATGCACCGATGATAACACGAAGATGACACGATTTGACAAGATGCCCTCACGAGTGCCTTACGAAGTTGCCGCTCACGAAGTTGCTGCCGGAGCCTGAGAAACTCCACCGGCGGTCATACGATGGATTAGATGCCCTCACGAATGGCCCGATGTTGCTACGATCACAGCCGAATTTGAATATTTCCTTTATCGTGTGTCCATCGGGTGTCAATTACGGGACAGTGTGACAGGGGCTTAAGGAAAGAGGGAAGAAACTGCCTCCTCTCTTATCAGTGACACCCATAAACCATTATAGGCCTTACACTCAACTTAACAAACCACTTTGTTTATACTGTAATATAGAAAAGCATAAAATATGAAGCATTTTCATTGTGGGTTATACAAGAATATAATTGATTATATTTGATTATAACTTACTTTCGTTTTAATTATTCAACCTAATATGGAGATCTCAACACTCCTCTCCTCTCCTGTTCTCCTCTCCTCCCCTGTTCTCCTCTCCTCTCCTTCCTCCCTTCTCCCCTCTACATGTCTCTCACATCATTTCCTCTCTCCTCCTCCTCAGCCAATGAGCTGACGGTGGGGAAGGTGTATGCGGCCCTGATGATCTTTGACTACTACAAGCAGAACCGAGCGCGGAGGCTGCGGCTGCAGCAGCAACAGGGCGCTTCAGGCTCCCAGGTACAACACACACATGCCTACATACTCACACACACACACACACACATATACACACACACACGCGCACTGAGGCAAATGCATTGGAAGGACTGGTGCAAACCTATATGCATGAGCCCTATATATATATATTCATGTTGCACTGCTGGAGGAGCCTTGGACTTCAGTTTTTCATTGCCATATCTACACTGTAGCTGCTGTGCATATGACAATAAAGCCTTGGATCTATATGCCTGCATGCATACACACACTTAAATAATTAGCTTGAGCTGCATCTTTTTAGTGTGCTCTTTCAATTTAGTGGGAAACATGACCTTATCTGTATATAGTCTAGTTGCCAGCATAGTGAAGCTGGAAATGTTGAGTACCCCAAAGTTTTCTGATAGATGTATAGTACAGGTCCCCAGCACATAGAAACTCCCGCATGATAATCTGCATGTGTTGGGCAATTTGCACAATCAGCATACATTGCATTAATTAGCATTAATGGTATTATGGCCTATGTAAATAGAAACGGTTTGACCCTTTTGGAAACATTTTGAGTGGTTTTGGGGGTTATTGAAGATGCTGAATCCATTTCTGACAGGATCAAAAATTGCTGTTTTAACCAGAAAGTGGCCATATTTGTACTGATTTTGACCATGAGCAGTGTTGCGACCATTGGATATAGAGAGCAGAAGATGAAAAACATGATGATCTCTACTGTGGACAATTCCTTTTCAAATAAATAAGCAATCTGTCCAATCCAAATGATCCAGATGCCCCTCAAACTTCCCAAAATGTATCTAAATCAGCCCACCGAGAGTATAAATATGGCCACTTTTTGGTTAAAACTGAAATGTTTTATCCTGAATACTAATTAAAAAATGTTTTGTAAATTTCCCAACATATGTTTCTATTATGTTGGGGACCCGTACTTTACATTTCTATCATCAAACCTTGGGGTGTTCAACATTTCTGGGTTCACTATTGAACTCTATGAGCTCGCAACTACTGTAGACTAAACGCTCATAATTATTTTAAGAATAAAGCACTTTTGTAATTAATATTTTTAAAAATCTCAGCGACCTCCTTCAGTACACGAATGTCCCCCTAGGGCAGGGGTCTGCAACCTTTTTGACCAAAAGAGCCATTTTGCTCCTTCTTCCCAAAGAATATTTTTGCCTGGAGCCGCAAAACATATTTCATAGCTTGATAACTTATAAAGTTGTATTTATTGTTATATCAGACAAAAACTACAGTTTTTTGCATTTATTATGCTGCGTTCACACCGGACGCGATGTTTGGGGGCGGCGCGATTACATATAAAGTCAATGCAGAGACGCGGTCAGACGCGAATTCGCTCCGACGGCGAGCATGAAGCGGTGGACGCGGCGCGAATCACGCGATTGAACGGTGCTGCGTCAAACGCGAGAGTTCAATTTTTTCAACTCGAGTGTCAAATTCACGTGACGCGTTCACGCGGAAGCCAATCAGCGGTGAGGATCTCAGCCTGCCGTCACTGACGTTCAACCAGAAAACATCAGCCGTTAGCTGTTAGCACACAGAGTTCAGAAACTGGACAAAAGTTTTGTCAGGTTTACGAAAGTAACTGTAATCAGATTACTCGTTTTTCAAATGTGTTAGAAATTAAAATCAATGTTTTGATGGCATAATGTACCTTAAATGTACCTTTAGTTTAAATGCTGTTTTATACTGAAAAACCAGAAGTTCTTGTGCACAACCAGTTAAGCTTTTATTCTGAAAATCCTTCATCTCCGGTTAGCATTTAGCATGAGGCTAATATACCATTTCCTATAGAGGTGAATTTAGCAGCGATATGATATGATGTTGCACACCGAAACCTACTGATTTCAACACTACAACTATAGACGTTGAGATATTATTATTGTTGGATATTAAATGAAGGTACAGTTTATTTGAGTACGTTATCGTTTACAGATGTGGGTAGCATGTCACAACATTCGGAACGACCGGAAATCAAATTGCTGTGAAGTATTTCCTGTATTTTTTGGAGTATTGATTACAGCGTTTAGAATGTGTTAAATGAAAAGTCATGAAAGAGTTAAGGAGGAGAAAAGGCGTGTTTAGATATATATTGAATGTACAATGTCTGTATCCTGTGATATGCGTAACAACGGACATTAAATACGTGGAGAGCCGGCCCCCAGGGAGGAGCCAGGAGAAGCTAAACAGCGAAACCTGAGGGGTTCGGCCTCTTTTCTCTGCTAACGAGAGCCAGATGCACAGCTGTTGGACCATATCCGGTTTGTGACTTTACCGCGCCTTTTTTATTAATTAAAGTACCAATTTTGAACCTCCAGAGACTCCATTTAGTCTCCTTTTTTTAAGCTTCTCTTTCCTGGACGCTGAGAATAAGAACACAGTTAACAAATGTAACGCGAGCTGAATACTTGATTTTTGTATTCTGATTACGTAACTCCGTTACATGTATTCCGTTACAACCCAACCCTGGCTATTTATTACATTATATAAAACTGTTAACCTCTAATAAGAAACAAAGAACTCCTATAAGGAGAATTACAAATAATACACAGGCCTACTTTAAAATAAATTAAACACAGCACTTGGGGAGTCCTCTGCACATTTGAAGGAAACCAAATATAATTAAAATGGGCCCACTTTGAAATAAATAAAACATATAGCTGCACCCTAAAAAGAGTTAAATGTAGGGTAGGTAAGAATGGAGAAACCAGCTCGAGTGCGCTAGAATTTGAAAATACACAACCGGAAAAAATCTGCCTCTTCCTTCAGACTTCCTTACAGAGCCCCTCCTCCAACACACACGGACGCGCACATGACCAATGAGGGCACGAGATAAGTTTGTGCACAGATGGAAGGCTGACAGGCAGGTAGGCCATCCAGTTATTTTAGCCCGGCCGCGTCTATCGTTTTTCCAACCCAGTTTAGATTTAACCACGCCCACTTCTGCATTACGCAAGGATCGACGTAGCTCTACGCGATAGCGTCATAGACTTCATCTTCGGCAGATATAGCGGTCGCGGTAAAGCAGAATATTGAATAGTTGTTTTTTGTCTTTCCAAAGGATTTGTTGACTGAAAGTAAACGATCCTGTAATCAAAGCCATATCGAAGAGTCCTGAGATTGTATTACTGGTGTTTTATCATCTATAAATAGCCTGTGTGTATCCTCAAATGTCATTTTCAGGACAAACAAAAGACGTTTTAAATATATTTTCAGCTGGTGTAAGTGCAGAACATTGAATATAACCTTGACTATTACTGTGTACTTCATTTATCTGACAGCATTATTTAATGATACTATTATATATATATATATATACACACATTTATAAACATATATATATAAACACACACTTATATGTACTCACACATGTATTTATTCATTTATACACACATATGTATTCATTCATTTATACACACACTCACATATATACACTTTATATTAATTCATTTGTACACACACACATACATATATATATATATATAAACAAAACAACACAATATAATAAAAAACAGTTGCAATAATAACATAATATGGTATGATCAATTCTACCCTTTTGTTTTTGCTCCCATATTTCAATTACAATATATTTTTCAAAATCAATATTGGTGGGGGCTCTTTTGCAAAGATAATCAATAACACCACCTGACAGTTGTTGCAGATTATACAGCATACTTGTTACTTACACACATGTGCGATGGTCCCAAAAAGGCCTAAATCTGCACTGTAAAAATATATACATTTATTAGGCACTCTGAATAAGGGTTGACTGTGTAATAATCATGCCTTTTAATTGGTGTATATCTCACCAGGTGAAGGCTGGGACAGTGGGAGGGGTGAGGTAGGAACAGGGGACTGCTGAATGCTGAAGTCCCAGGATACAATCCCAAGTTGACTGCATGATCCACTTACCTGTTTGCATCAACTGCAGGAGGTCAAGCAGGGGTCATCTGATGTCCTTTAGGTTGGATCAACACCAGCCTCTGGAAATATTTCATGACTGCAGAGGGCAGTGGACCTTTAGTCATTTAATACTGTGATGTAGGGTAATGGATTTGTATTAACAGGGAGGTTATATTTCAGCATTTGAGATACACCTTGAGGCCTGATTTGGTAAAAAGCCCACTTACCACGACAAGGTACAGGCCATAAATGGGACAAAGACATAAGGTGAAAAACAAATGAGAAAGAAAGGCATACACATATACAAACAGATACATAAAGGGTGTAGAGGGGCACCGAATACCATATTCGGTGCCCCTCTAAACCCTACACCCTCTCCTGCCTCCAAACAGAGGGATGGGGGTGAAGAGGAGTCAGAGCGTGTAGAGGGGCACTGAGAAAAAAAGAGCCTATAGTTATTCAGGTACTATTCTGATGCTAATACTTTAGTACTTATACTTGAGTATTTCTACACTCTGGTACTTTACCTTTCCTCAAGTACAAGATCTTATCACTTCTTACACCTCTGGAAAGCACTTTTATGTAAAGGAATACATTTTTATAAATGTCCCAACATTTAATTTGTACATGGCAAAACATTAATATGTTATTAATGTCAAATGTTATATGTTGTATTATATAACAAAATGTAAGTACGTTCGACCAACAACATACAAACTTGAAGAAAACAGAATCATATACAGTAAGTACATCAGGTTTCATAGAGCAAAAACATTTCAAGTGCTACTTTAGATAAGCCAGTCCTTTATTAGTATATAAGTGCTTTGTTATTAATTCTATCGCTCGAAGTGGAGTCGAAAGAGATGAGTTTTCAGTCTGCGCCGGAAGGTGTGTAAGCTTTCTGCTGTCCTGATGTCAATGGGGAGCTCATTCCACCATTTTGGAGCCAGGATAGCAAACCCACGTGTTTTTGCTGATGGAAACTTGGGTCCCCCTCGCAGTGAGGGTGCATCGAGCTGTTTGGCTGATGCAGAGCGTAGTGCACGTGCTGGGGTGTACGGTTTAACCATGTCCTGGATGTAGGAAGGGCCAGATCCATTCACAGCATGGTACGCAAGTACCATTGTCTTGAAGTGGATTCTAGCAGTTACCGGAAGCCAGTGAAGGGAGCGGAGGAGTGGCGTGGTGTGGGAGAATTTAGGAAGGTTAAAGATCAGACGAGCCGCTGCATTCTGGATGAGCTGCAGAGGTTGGATGGCACATGCAGGTAGACCAGCCAGGAGGGAGTTGCAGTAGTGTAGGCGTGAGATGACGAGAGTCTGGACCAGAACCTGCGTTGCTTTCTGGGTCAGCTGGGGACGTATCCTCCTGATGTTGTAAAGCGTGTATCTGCAGCAGCGGGTTGTAGCTGCTATGTTTGCAGTGAAGGACAGGTTGTTATCTAGGATCACACCCAGATTCCTTGCAGTCTGAGTCGGGGAAACAATACAGGTGCCGATGTTGATTGTCAGGTCAAGAGTGGGACACTCTTTTCCCGGAAGGAAAAGCAGTTCAGTCTTGTCAAGGTTGAGCTTGAGGTGGTGAGCAGACATCCACTGAGAGATGTCAGCTAGACAACCAGAGATGCCTGCGACGAACTGGGTCTCTTAGCGGGGAAAGGACAGAATTAATTGGGTGTCGTCAGCGTAGCAGTGGTATGAAAAACCATGCGGGCTAATGACTGATCCGAGCGAGTTTGTGTACAAGGAGAAGAGGAGGGGACCAAGAACAGAACCCTGAGGGACCCCTGTAGTTAATTGACAAGGGTCGGACTCCGACCCTCTCCAAGTAACCCTGTAGGTACGGTCTTTGAGGTATGAGGTGAGGAGGGAAAGTGCAGAGCCTGAAACTCCAAGTTCTTGGAGAGTGCGAAGGAGGATCTGATGATTCACCGTGTCGAATGCAGCAGACAGGTCCAGAAGGATGATGACAGAGGAGAGGGAGGCTGCTTTAGCCGTGTGCAATTCCTCAGTGACAGCAAGGAGGGCAGTTTCTGTGGAGTGACCTGCCTTAATACCAGACTGGTGCGGATCCAGAAGGTTGTTCTGATGGAGATAACAGGAGAGTTGTTTAAAGACAGCGCGTTCAAGTGTTTTAGACAGGAACGGGAGGAGAGAGACAGGCCTGTAGTTTATAACATCAGACGGGTTGAGAGTGGGTTTCTTTAGGAGAGGGTTTACTCTTGCCTCCTTGAGACTGTTTGGAAAGTGACCAGAAGTTAGAGAAGTGTTGATGAAATGGGTGAGAAACGGTAGAATATCAGGAGTGATAGTCTGAAGGAGGTTTTAAGGGATAGGGTCCAGAGGACAGGTGGTAGGACAGGCAGAAGTAATGAGCGTAAGAACCTCACTTGGAGAGAGAGGGGAAAAGGAGGTTAGTGTGTGGGTGAAAGGAGGGTCTGGTGACCCAGCGGTGAGTAAAGGTGAGTCAGAAAAAGAAGAGCGAATATCATTAACCTTGTTTTCCAAGTGGTTAACAAAGTAGCTTGACAGAAGTGAGGAGGGGGGAGGGGCTTTGGGGGGGGTCCAGGAGGGAGGAGAAGATGGAAAATAGAAAGTGCTTTTTGCCTGAGAGATCGAAGCAGAGAAAGAGGAGAGGAGAGCCTGATAGGTTAGGAGGTCGTCATGGTGTTTGGATTTCCACCGTTTCCGCTCTGCTGCCCGAAGGACGGTTCTATTAGCACGCAGTGCGTCATTTAGCCAGGGAGCAGGAGGGGACTGACGAGCCTGCCGAGATGTGAGAGGACAGAGAGAGTCCAGAGAGGATGAGAGAGTAGAGAGGAGAGTTTCTGCAGCAGAGTTTGGAGGTAGGAGTTGGAACGAGTCAGAGGAAGGGAGGGCTGAGAGCACCGATGAGGCGTCCCCCGTAGAGGGGGAGAGAGAACGAAGGTTACGGCGGACAGGTGCAGGATGAGAAGAGATTAGTTTGTTATGTTTGGAAAGGGGTAGAGCGAATGAAATGAAGAAGTGATCGGATGTGTGGAGCGGGTTTACAGAGAGGTTATATTATGCAGCGTTTAAAAGGACGGTATTTCGCTTGTCAGATTCAGATTTTCGCGGGTGTGCCGCGTCTATGACGCTATCGCGTAGAGCTATGTCGATCCTTGCGTAATGCGGAAGTGGGCGTGGTTGAATCTAAACTGGGTTGGAAAAACGATAGGCGCAGCCGGGCCGGCTAAAATGATTGGTTGTGCTTTTTACAGCGCTACGGCTTCCAGAGATACATTTTGTTATGTATTTATTGTCAAAGCATTTAATATATTCATTGCTATCGGGATGTTAAGAGCATTCCATGGGATATAACAAAAAGTGTTTTCTGAAATATATTACATACCCCATTGAATTATGACTGAAGATAGTCAGCTGTCTTCCTCTCCCGTGTTGTTCCTCGATACGTAAAGGCTGCAGCACCTTTGACAACTTCTCTCTACATATCAAACATACCGGTAAGCCAGCATTGTTTGCTGTGAAAACATATAACTCTGTCCACGCAGAATTAAAGCCTGTGTTCCTCCGGTACTTTTCTTTGATTTATCCATAGTTCGCTCATCGAGCCGGGGGTCAGGTTATTCGCCTGCAAGAAAAGCAGGATGTGACGCATATTTTAGTTGACCTGATTAAAACCGTTTTGTTTTTTATTTATGTGTCACAGTATCACCTCAAAATACAAGATACGAAACATTTTCAACCATGCAACAAAATATAAATAGTCCTACAAATACTTTTATTTGATTTCCTTCTTATTTTTGTCTAAGCTCAAGGGAGCCAGAGCAGAGGGCTTAAAGGGTCAAGGGCCGCGGGTTGCCGACACCTGCCCTAGGGGAACTATCACCCCATTTGAGAAACAAGGCATGCTTAGCAGCTACAGCCGAAGGTGATCCTGCATCAGCCGCTGGTCGCTGCTCATTTGCAAGTTGCACATCTACTCTACAGGTGCATGTCTGTTTGGGAACACACAGATACTCATGGATGAACCACATACAAAGCAAGACTTATTAATATGTTGACCAAGGTCAAACACCCCTATGTCGGAGCTGGGTGCAACAATATTCTGCCTGCTGCCTCTGAATGTCTTCAGCATGTTGCCATATGTTTCTTCTCCACAGTGCAAGGTCGGGGCTCTGTTTAAGCCATTGCTGCCTCTGACTCACATGCAGGAGAAAGATCTGCCTATGATGCCTCCCAGCATGCTTCAGCCCAAATCCAAGTCCCAGCTACAGACCAGACCTAGCTCCAACTCCCTGAACAACGGAGGCACGCTGTAAGTTTCACACTTCAGGAAATGAAGCTTTAGCTCACACACAAGACTACATTCAGAGTAAGAGCCAAGAGTGACTTTACAACATCAACACTTTCGACACAAGGTAACACCAGGGTTAAGTGTACTGCCTTAAGGCTAAACAGCATGACCCTAAAAGTATAATACTGCCAGATTTTTTAAGAAAATGACATTGTGTAAATGTATGCTGAGGATGATCCTTTTGGTGGAGAACTTTTGATAGTGAAACTTTTTCCAGATAAAAGTGACCATCAACAATTTTGTGGCCTCAGTAAATTCATCAGAATACATAATCTGCATCTGTTAACATGTCTCCACCTTTTCCTACCTGTATGAGGGAGAGAAGGACATCCTGCAAACAGCTGACTAGCAGTTTGCAGGGTATCCTTCTCTCCCTGTCTGCAGTAATACTGGGCCTGACTCTAAGACTATGTCTGGGTTCACTAAACCAAGACAACATGCCATGTTAGACCAATCAGTATTCTTGAATTTACCACCTCAGTACGGCAATTCTAAGTTGGATTTACAACTTAGAATTTAAAACCTACAGTAACGGCCCGTCCACACAGCGGCGTGCGTTGAAGCTTCCAACGCTTCTGCCCATTCACTTTGAATGGGGTGACGTCACTTTTAGCCGAACTGCATTTTGGGAAGCGACGTGGAGCGTTGCTGGCGTAGCTGGCGTCAAAAGTTGAGCAATGTTCAACTTTTGACGCCTCGACGGAGGCGTCAGCCAATGAAATCCCGTTTATTCAAATCTGCCAGTACAATCGCTAGCCAATCAAACCGCGTGTATGCTGGGAAAGACTGTGCAGGTCATTTCCTCATATTCAAACAAATTGAGGGAAAATTCATTGTAGCGATAGTGAATCACCCGGTGCTGTATGATCAGTCTCTGTTGATCTACCGGGATACAAACCGGAGGAGCGAGGCATGGAGGGAGGAGGCAGAGACAGTGGATGCAACTGGTAGGTTTTCGCCTGTTTGGGGATTTTATATCCAGTTTACTTCGTTTTAACATTGCTATTGCTTTGTATGTCGGGGGCGGGAGATTCATGTGATTGGTTGTTGGTCGTGTTGCTCGCAAAAAATCCCCAAGCTTCAGATACGCCCACCTCCAAGCGTCAACGCACGCTGCTGTGTGGACGCTCCGTAAGATCACATTTACCTTTACAAGAATATTAATGAAGACAGGCTTCACTAAAGCCGCAATTACCATAACCAAGTATATCTGCAATATTTACAGTTTCAGCTGCGAGGTGAGGTGTGAAAAAAGATAGATACACTGAACAAAAATATAAATGCAACACTTTTGTTTTTGCTCCCATTTTTCATGAGATGAACTCAAAGATCTAAAAAAATTGTTATATACACAAAATAACCATTTCTCTCAAATATTGTTCACAAATCTGAAAAAATCTGTGATAGTGAGCACTTCTCCTTTGCCGAGATAATCCATCCCACCTCACAGGTGTGGCATATCAAGATGCTGATTAGACAGCATGATTATTGCACAGGTGTGCCTTAGGCTGGTCACAATAAAAGGCCACTCTGAAACGTGCATTTTTGCTTTATTGGGGGGGTCTGGAAACCAGGCAGTATCTGGTGTGAGGGGTAGGGTTAGGGGTAGGGTTAGGGTAATGTTGTGAATCGAGTGGCCCATGGTGGTGGTGGGGTTATGGTATGGGCAGGCGTATGTAATGGACGACGAACACAGGCCACGTTTTTTTTTTTTGCAGGGAGAAATGCGAAGATCACGTGACATAGACGCCAGCCATTGGAATGAATGGTGAAAAAAAACGTAGGGATCCTACAATTTCAGAGGCGTTTTTGTAGAAATACTACATCCTACGTTGTGGATCAACGTAGTTATTACACGTTTTTTTGTGAGACTGGGTTGAAATACCAGGTTAACCTCTGAATTGTAGTGGAGTAGAATAAAGTAGTATGCTGCTGTAACAAAAACATTTCCCAACTTGGGATCAATAAAGTATATCTTATGATGATCGATGGCTACTGCCATATTTGCAAAATTTGCCTCTGAACCTTGACAAGTGCATGTTTCAGGCTTATGAGGGCAGTTTTGGCGCAGTGGTTAGAGCGTTGATCATCAGATCAAGGGGCGTTGGTGAACTCCAGTTCGAAACCCGCCTCGGCCGCCACTGCGTCAGGCCGTTGTTATCTTGGGCAAGACACTCTACCCACATTTGCTCCTGTGGGTAATGGCCACAGTATTGACATTTACATGTGTAATATGTAATTGTAAAGCGCTTTGAGCACCTGTAAAAGCGCTCTAATTAAAAAAATGTAATCCATTATTATTATTATTAATTATTATATATTATGCTGCTCCCGCTGTGCATAATCTGTGTAATATGTAGCCAATAAATTCCACATTGTTGGTAAAATAATATTTTGGCCTGCCCCGAATGTCTTTTCTGTAGCCCCGGACAATACCTCAATAATATAATACATTAACCGTGCTTTACGTGAACCTCTTCATGACAGTAGAGAGGACGGCAGGATTGTAATTTCCCATGTTCAGTGAATGCAACAGAGACAATACACCAGACCAATCAGAGAGTTGCATGGAAATAAAAGTGTGCTTGTGTCATTCAAGCTCGGCTGTGTGTGTGTGTGTGTGTGTGTGTGTGTGTGTGTGTGTGTGTGTGTGTGTGTGTGTGTGTGTGTGTGTGTGTGTGTGTGTGTGTGTGTGTGTGTGTGTGTGTGTGTGTGTGTGTGTGTGTGTGTGTGTGTGTGTGTGTGTGTGTGTGTGTGTGTGTGTGTGTGTGTGTGTGTGTGTGTGTGTGTGTGTGTGTGTGTGTGAGATACAAAAAATCGTTATTAAAAAAACAAGAGAATAAAGGAAAAACAGTTATGAAATACTATATGGCAGTAAAACAAGAATACAGTTTGAAAGGGGAATGATTTGCAAAATATCCATAAAGAAAAAGAACATCTGATTACAGTTGTGTTTCATATGGATGTTGAGAGATGTAGGCTATCCATAGATCTCTTAATGTTGCTCTCAAAGTGCACCAGATTGTTGCTTTTAACTTCAATATTTAAAAAAAATCTTCCCGGGGGACCCCCCTAGAGGAGGTGAGGTCCGCTCCCCACTCGTAAAAAATAGCACTTTACCCCTGCCTATATGCCGTGAGCTGATTATTGAGCCTTCATTGTAACAGTCGCGGGTGTACTGTGTGTTTGCGTGTGGGGAGTGTTGCAGTAGAACATTCCACTGTAGCACCCCTGGTGCTCACGCTTTTGTGCGTGCTCTATAGTGCCCGTAATAGTGTTCACTGGAGTCCAGCACCTCAGCACCCCCACTCAAAATACCTTCCCGCCCCTCTGCATGTGGGTATATGAATTCACCCATTTATTAATTATATGTTTTATATTTGATAACACCACTGTGTTTCGTATCCCCTAAATCTCCAGGGTGTACACAGTTTAATACTGGCAACTTCTAATTGTGGGAAATACGAAAACGTTTTATAAAGAGACGTGCCATAGAACATGTCGCGAAATACACAATAGCCAGCATGTGTAGTTCTGGGGGGGGGGCTGGACCCGTCCAATTCCAGTTTTGGAAAGTCTGCCGTGGTTCCATTCCATTTCATAGAGCTGTTCGACGCTCAGCGTAACCTTGTCGCAATGCCACTCCAACATCCAATCACAGGGCTTGATGACTAATCACGGGGTTTGTAAAGCAAGGCGGATGTTGTAGTCCCAAACGATAGCTGGGGAGTCTGGGTAGTGTAAACTCCGAAAAAACTATTTGTTTCTCTGAATCGAAGGTTAAAAACACAAAAACATTGGACACAATTTAAACCAATCAATATTGTGTAATTAACAAGGATAAACTGATGTTTATTAGTGGATGAGTAATGCAGATATCACTGTGTAATCATTTGACAGTGAGGGGAATACTTCCGGTTTTATTATGAAAACTTAGAGACCGGAAAAACAGTTTTCACCCACGCTAACTTTACATGGAAGCTCAAATCATCTTCGGAATATCTATCAAACTATAGATCCTACACATCGACTGGACATGGATTCTCAGAGTACAATATACACTTCTCGCCAGAAATCGAATCAAAAAGCATTTTAATGGCCAAACTATTCCACAATTTAGGATTTTCCAGAGAGGGTTATTTGTGAATAAATGTCCCTCTGGAGCGTTTGCAATGAACGGGCCGGGAGTATGTTGTTTCTTACACGACCACTAGAGCACCTCTAGTGGTCGTGTAAGAAACAACATACACTTTAAAACGTGTCTCTGGGTCGTAATAAGGGCATGAACAATCGGCCTATATGGTCGTTTGTTGTAGGAGGACAGGCTGACATAAAAACATTGTGTACAGTGAGAGAGCAAACATTATACTTGGAGCTAGGAATCTGCAATAATCAAGCAAAGATCGGAGGCTTCTACAGTGCTAGACCACCACATTTGCTACGTTTTGCTTAAACGTAGCAAATGTTATCTGAACTTGTAGCTGCACTGATCTAGAATCTGGAAGGAGAACTTGTCAAATCAGGTTTACATGAGGGCTGATTCCAAGTTTGTTTGCTATACACTAATACGTTAGCATATTGTAACATGGTTATCGACTTTGATTTGCTTTAGATATTTTATTTTCAGGTATTTTATTAAATCTCATACTGTAATTTGAGTTAGCTGTTTTTATTTGTATTTTGTTGTGCTCAATTGTTTTCTTGTGATAATGTGAACATCTATATATCTTAATATTTGTAAACATTTATTCTATATTTACTTTAAATGTCCTTGTTCCAAATTCTGCTTGGGAATTTAAAACAACAAAATCCCCTCACTGCAACAAAAAGTCTAAAAACTCAGTGTACTGCTCATTATCACACCACTGCCACCCAAAGCAATGACTGCACACACACTGTGTACACACACTTTGTATACAGTGTTTCTACAGTACTTTATTATTATGCTGAACTGTGACATCATACAGGCCAGGACATGAGCACAGCATAAAGGCATCATCCTCCTGGGTGATGAAAAAGCCAAAGGAAGCGTCCGGAGCTAAGACTAAGAGGACCATGTCTCGCGGCCCCTCAGAGGACACACCGGCCCCTCCCCTCATTCAGGTACTGCAGACTCATATTAAAATGCTGCGTGTGGGAACCTGTATTTTAAATGTATATAAATAACTGTGGCTAGGTGAGTGTCATGGTACGTGCAATCATGACAAAGGAAATCATTCTGTTTCAAAAATATAATTACATTTATCTATGTGTAAACATCTTTAAAGTACACAGTTAGAAACAACTTTTTACTGATGTGTAAGTCATGTAAAGGACTGTATTTCAAACATGACAAATAGCACTGACAACATGTTTTGTGCATTCTGTGCATCTCCAATGGTGACCAATTCCCTCATTGTCCTCAACTGCAAAGCAAACTAGATCTGAATCTGCATTTTTTTCTGATATCACTGTCTTACAAGTATGTGTTATCATATTTGTTATTACATATTAACAGGGGCGGTAAGAGATTACATGTTACCAGATTACAAAACATCAGGATACAAAATGTTATTGCAGTGGACATCTGATTAATTAAACACAAACACAGTCTATGCTTCTGATTAATGTATTAAGCTTAAACAGCATTTGTAAACTATTACTGTTACTCCAGTTTTTGATATGAAATATCTTTGTTTCTTCTTTTCTAAGGTTGTTACATACATTTAAAGGAATGCTCCACTCATTAGATAATGAATCAAAACTTCAGTATTTAGTGAAACATTATGTTTAAACCATACCCTGAAGAAATCAGCGATATTCCCCGGTAAATAAGGATTTTATAGCTATTTTTTATCAAAACCTGTATATTCCGTCAGGCCGCTGCCATTTTTGCCATTTTCAGTAGTCACGTGATGGTCGTGACGTCATCCATGCGTTCACTTTGTAAACACACGAAAACATGGCGGAGTATTTGAGTTCGGACTCGTCAGCCGAGGAAGAAGTTTTGAGCAATATGAAGAGATTGGATGGGGGAATTCAGCCATACAGGTTCGAGCCAAGTAGTCAGAACCGTCAGGAATCCAGGGACAGTGACGATGAGGATGAACAGCACGGTGATCTTGCTGGAGACGATCCCTTTACTCGTGCAATTGATTTCGGGAGGCGAGTAGGAAGACCTGTACATGAATGGTGTACTTGCGATCGGTGTGTAGCCATGGACAATCCTCTTATATATGTTGTCATGAGCTTGAAGAGCTTGAAAATAAACTGTTCACAGACGACTTGGATTGCATATGTTTACACAGGGAATTCGACATTGTGGTGTTAGAAAAAGCTGTGATTCCCTCTCTAGTTTAGCATACTCAGCCTCGTTGTCCCTGGCCCTAGAACCACGATTTTATGGGGCCGGAAAAACTGGGGGAAAATACCCACTAGCCGGTACTACGCTATATGGTCCACTGAGATCCATCATCTAGTTTCAGGTGGCCTGTGGAACTGCCAGTCAGCTGTTCCTAAGGCTGACTTCATCTCTGGCTACACCTCCCTGCAGTCTCTGGATTTCCTTGCTCTCACTGAGACCTGGATTACTCCATCCAACACATCCACCCCAGCAGCTCTCTCCACTGCATATTCCTTCTCCCATACACCCAGACCCACTGGCAGAGGAGGTGGCACTGGTCTCCTGCTCTCTCCCAAATGGAGCTTTTCCCTCTTCAAGCTACCTAACTTTACTCCTTCCACCTTTGAGTTCCATGCCGTCACAGTAACCCATCCTATACAGTTAACCATTGTTGTTCTCTACCGTCCACCAGGCGCCTTGGGGGACTTCTTGGAGGAATTAGATCATCTCCTCTCACACATCCCTGAAACTGGCCCTCCCGCTGTACTTCTCGGAGACTTCAACCTCCAGATGGGGAAGATAGACGAACTAACATCTCTGTTAACCGCCTTTGCTTTCTCACTCTCTCCGTCCCCACCGACTCATAAAGCTGGCAATGTCCTTGATCTCATATTCTCAAGGAACTGCGCTACTTCTAACCTCTCTGTAAACCCGCTCCACACATCCGATCACTTCTTCATTTCATTCTCTCTATCCCTTTCCAAACATAACAAACTAATCTCTTCCCATCCTACACTTGTCCGCCGTAACCTTCGCTCCCTCTCTCCCTCTACCTTTGCCTCGTCGGTGCTCTCAGCCCTCCCTTCCTCTGATTCGTTCCAACTACTGCCTCCAAACTCTGCTGCAGAAACTCTCCTCTCTACTCTCATCCACTCTGGACTCGCTCTGTCCTCTGACATCTCGGCAGGCTCGTCAGTCCCCTCCGGCTCCCTGGCTAAATGATGCACTGCGTGCTAATAGAACCGTCCTTAGGGCAGCAGAGCGGAAATGGTGGAAATCCAAACACCGTGACGACCTCCTAACCTATCAAGCTCTCCTCTCCTCTTTCTCTGCTTCGATCTCTCAGGCAAAAAGCACTTTCTTTCAAGATAAGATCCAATCTTCCTATTCCAATCCTAAAAAACTATTTTCCATCTTCTCCACCCTCTTGGACCCTCCAAAAGCTCCTCCCCCCTCCTCACTTCTGTCAAGCGACTTTGTTACCCACTTTGAAAAAAAGGTTAATGATATTCGCTCTTCTTTTTCTGACTCACCTTTACTCACCGCTGGGTCACCAGACCTTCCTTCCACCAACACACTAACCTCCTTTTCCCCTCTCTCTCCAAGTGAGGTTCTTACCCTCATTACCTCTGCCCGCCCTACCACCTGTCCTCTGGACCCTATCCCTTCAAACCTCCTTCAGACTATCGCTCCTGATATTCTACCGTTTCTCACCCATTTCATCAACACTTCTCTAACTTCTGGTCACTTTCCAAACAGTCTCAAGGAGGCAAGAGTAAACCCTCTCCTAAAGAAACCCACTCTCAACCCGTCTGATGTTATAAACTACAGGCCTGTCTCTCTCCTCCCGTTCCTGTCTAAATCACTTGAACGCGCTGTCTTTAAACAACTCTCCTGTTATCTCAATCAGAACAACCTTCTGGATCCGCACCAGTCTGGTTTCAAGGCAGGTCACTCCACAGAAACTGCTCTCATTGCGGTCACGGAGGAACTGCACACTGCCAAAACTGCATCCCTCTCCTCTGTCATCATCCTGTTGGACCTGTCTGCTGCATTCGACACGGTGAATCATCAGATCCTCCTTCACACTCTCCAAAAACTTGGAGTTTCTGGCTCTGCACTTTCCCTCCTCACCTCATACCTGAAAGACCGTACCTACAGGGTGACTTGGAGAGGGTCTGAGTCCGACCCTTGTCAATTAACTACGGGGGTCCCTCAGGGCTCTGTTCTTGGTCCCCTCCTCTTCTCCTTGTACACAAACTCGCTCGGATCAGTCATTAGCCCGCATGGTTTTTCTTACCACTGCTACGCTGACGACACCCAATTAATTCTGTCCTTTCCCCGCTCAGAGACCCAGGTCGTCGCACGCATCTCTGCTTGTCTAGCTGACATCTCTCAGTGGATGTCTGCTCACCACCTCAAGCTCAACCTTGACAAGACTGAGCTGCTCTTCCTCCCGGGAAAAGATTGTCCAACTCTTGACCTGACAATCAACATCGGCACCTCAGTTGTTTCCCCGACTCAGACTGCAAGGAATCTGGGTGTGACCCTAGATAACAACCTGTCCTTCACTGCAAACATCGCTGTTACAACCCGCTGCTGCAGATACACGCTTTACAACATCAGGAAGATACATCCCCAGCTGACTCAGAAAGCGACTCAGGTTCTGGTCCAGGCTCTCGTCATCTCACGCCTAGACTACTGCAACTCCTTCCTGGCTGGTCTACCTGCATGTGCCATCCGACCTCTGCAGCTCATCCAGAATGCAGCGGCTCGTCTGGTTTTCAACCTTCCTAAATTCTCCCACACCACTCCGCTCCTCCGCTCCCTTCACTGGCTTCCGGTAACTGCTAGAATCCACTTCAAGACACTGGTACTTGCTTACCGTGCTGCGAATGGATCTGGCCCTTTCTACATCCAGGACATGGTTAAACCGTACACCCCAGCGCGTGCACTACGCTCTGCATCAGCCAAACGACTCGTTGCGCCCTCGCTGCGAGGGGGACCCAAGTTCCCATCGGCGAAAACACGTGGGTTTGCTATCCTGGCTCCAAGATGGTGGAATGAGCTCCCCATTGACATCAGGACGGCAGATAGCTTGCACATCTTCCCGCGCAAACTGAAAACTCATCTCTTTCGACTCCACTTCGAGCGTTAGAACGATTAACGAAGCACTTTTATACCAATAAAGGACTGGATTACCTAAAGCCAGTTGAGTAGCACTTGAAATGTTTGGCTCTATGAAACCTGATATACTTATATGATTCTGTTTTCTTCAAGGTTGTGTCTTCCTGGTCGAATGTACTTATTGTAAGTCGCTTTGGACAAAAGCGTCAGCTAAATGCAATGTAATGTAATGTAATGTAATATGGAAAGGCCACCAAAAACTGGCCTGGCCTGGATGATAAAGGACGTTTAAACGGGGCTACCCGCTGCAATGGAAATGCGCTATAACATACCTTATTCTTACTCCGAGCACTACTTCTGGTCCTCCGTCGCTTCACACTTGCAGAGGGCGATTTCTCAACTGGCCGAACTGGTGTCCTCAATCAATCAATCAATAGGATACGGCTGTAATAGGCCTAAGGCCTTTTAGTCGCTCATAAATAAATGAGTAGATCACTGATTCTTTATTTACTATGGATGCTGGCAACAGTCACATAGTCCAAAGTGAAGGTGATGTTTGACCAGTAGTGGTCGAGGCGGGATTTGAGACAGTTAACCGTCTTGGATGTGACAACGCTTTCTGGCAGATCATTCCACAAGTCAACCACACGCAGGCTGAAAAAGTTGCGGCGGATAGCCAGTCTTGAGTACTGTTTCTTCAACTTGAGGCAGTGTCCACGAGTCCTGGTGGTATAATCCCGTTGTAGTGGGCATGATGTTTTGTAGATGTTGTGGAGATATTTGAAAACTTCGATCATATCTCCCCTCGCCCTTCTATAATACATACTCGGGATTTTAAGACGTTGCAGTCGTTCTTGATATGGTAGGTCCTTTAGTTCTGGAACCAGCTTCGTTGCCCTTCTCTGTATTTTCTCGATGAGTTCAGCATCCTTTTTGTACATGGGGGACCAAGCGACATTCCCATACTCGAGGAGTGGCCGTACAAGAGAGATGTATAAACTACGTACTACGTCAGAGTCCAAATAAGTGTATGATCTGCGGATCATTGCTAGGATACCATTGGCTTTGTTACTTGCCCGACGGATATGGTCACTAAATGTCAGGGTATTATCAACATTCACACCAAGGTCCTGGTCGGTGATGACACCAGAAAGACCGATGGTACTGCATCTCCATTAAGTAATGGTTGTTCAATAAATCCCATGTTATGTTTTATCATACTCTCAGAGTAGTCGTCCGGAAACTTGAAATGTTCGCTGCATACATGCGCCTGTGGATCTTTCGGTTCGGGCCGGCCACATTTCGCTAGCCACTGCCTCCGAACGTACTTCCTACGCTTACCTTTTGGCAACAGATGGAACCGAGCATTCCGTGGATTGTTCCTATCAGAATTGTGGCAATGTTTTGCGATACAATGAGGCATATTTGAAGAGAGTAACTACAGTAAATAACATGAACATCAACGTGTCCTCGAAACCAAACGCATGGTTTACGTCACGTCCGGTAAAATGGCGCCGCCCACAGTGTTGATGTTATTTCGGTAATTAATCAGTTTAAAATCACTGATAAAGTCATCGGATTTAAAAAAATTTAAAAAAAAGACTGGCAGAGACTGGTCTGTTTTATCGGATGATAATTATTTAAAAATGAGTGTCATGAGCATACCATTCCTTTAAGAAAAAACATCTCATTGTTATTTATTTTCTCTTGTTTTTATTTGCATTGCATTAGATATTAAGGTAACTCAAAAGTAACAAAGTAATTTGATTACATTACTTTGATATTGTGATACTCAGATTAGGTTACTGTTTACACTTTTTGACATTTTTAAAGTAACCCTCCCACCCTGCATATCACATGTGTTCGTTGTTAGAACACTTAAAGGCCTGGCTTGCTTTTTGAACCATCTGCAGTTTTCATTCACCCTTTCAGTGTTAAATCGAAGAAGTAAAGGCAGCAGATTGGTGTGAATAATGTGTGTATGAAGTGTGGCATTCATTGCTGCTGCGCTCTCAGCCACCTGTCTGTTTGACTGTGGTAACCGTGCCACCGTGAGGACTGTAACTGAACCATGATTCTGTGAAACCCCTGGTATAAAATGTCTCTTTTGTGAGATTGGTACAAAGAGCATTGTGAAACGTGCATTATACAGAATGTACCAAATGAGCCATTACCCATGCAGGCTTTATTTGCTGGCAGTGACTGTTATTCAAGAAAAAAAAGGAATACAGACTTTAATTAGAAAATGTAAGGTATGAATTGAGTTGGCAGGGTGACCATCATGTATTTGTCAGCAGAATCATACTGTTCTTAAAGTGGAATAAAAAGGAAATCTAGCCACCACACACCGAATGATGCTAATAGAGTTGTTTTTGTGTGTGTGTGCACGCCCAGGAGTCTGTGGAGATGAGGAAGATGGAGACCAGTGCCAGCAGTACCCTCCCAGTGCCTGGCTCCGGTCTGGAGACCCAGGCCCGAGCTGCCTCCATGCCTCGACTCAACGCTGAGCTGCAGGTAACTCCTCTCCTACAGCTGCGGCCATTTTAAGGGCCGATATATTGTAATTTTATTATGATTTTATTATTATTATGGCTCATTATCCGAACATATCGTTATTTTTTTCCAACCGGGGGTACGGGTACCCCTAAGGGTACTAAAGGTTATTGCAGGGGGTCCGTAGAAAGATTAAGGATTGCAATATATTTCCACGCAAAAAACATTTTAAAATTCATTTACATAAGCCTTGGGTCCGCAGTCTAGTTTGGCGTCTGCAAGTAAGAGTTCCTCCTGGGATGGTGTTGATTGTAACACCACTGTAGTTCATGCTGCGGAGAAGCGCATTAAAATGTGCTAATATTATCTGTAAATTAGGGGTAAGAGTGGATGTTTGGTTAGGCAAGGATAGGCGGAACCAGGCTTAGGATAGCCCAATGAAAAAAAGAAGCGGCCAAGACCCAACACATGCAGTTCAGTGAGAAATACATTTCTCATGGATTTACAGTTTTTTATATTGTAGTCCTGGCATGGATTTCTATGAAGCCAGCCTACATGCAATGCTAGAGCACCAAACACGCTTGAAGTGTCTATATTATATTAGTTTTAGTCTAATTTTTTATGTGACATTGATGACACTTATTGTTTTTGTAGAAAAGGCAGCGTGTCTCTTTATTAGCAGACTGTGATGGTTCACTCAGACACAGTGAATCCTCCCAGATGTGAAATGCTGCTCTATAGTGCAACAGGTCATGCAGCTAAATGAAATGGAGGACTTCAGCAGGAGGGGGTACAGTTTTACTCATAAGGAGCCTAACATATATATTTCACACATACATTTAGGAAACTCAATAAAACATTGAAGCATTGAACCAGTTATTAGTTTGTCCATTCATCGATATTTACATTCTGTTTTAGGGTTGATTGACTAAAGCTTGAAATATATTTCCTTGGTTTTTTAAATGTTTTATCAATTTTCAGTCTTGTTTTGTGTGTATTTTTGTTCATAATTTTTGTTAACAATTATCACTGCACCACACTCACAACTCTGATTTCAACTTGCAAACACAAACATACTAACGCTTGGGTGACATCATAACAACTGTCACAGAACTATTTAAAAAACAAAACACATATGATCTGGGACTTACTATTTATCAGGTTATGGCTGACAAATCTACATCATTATTTTACTAGATCCTTTGAAACAAAATAAGCTCCTCATTTCCTGGGTGATATTGATTGATTCATGCATTCAAGGTGCTTTCCTTTCACAGCCCAATTGGAAGAGCCCTCTCTCTCTCTGCAGAAGAAAAGTAATCTGATTAGATCCTGGCAGGCCGCCAGCTATTTTTCCAGTATCTTCTTTCTCCTGCTGCCAACCAAAATGTAATAGGGCTCCAAATGGCTTTGGGCTCAAGATTCACTGGGAGAGGAACAGGGTAATTTGGTTACCGTAGAGGAAAGGCAGTCTGGAGAGAGGATTAATAAAGGATGTAAGGAGGCAGGGCGGAAGGTGGCCTTGTTGACTGGCTGTCTTATGTGTCTCACCTTTTAGAATAGCAGGCAGGAAATCCTCACGCTAATTCAATTATTGCCAGAAACTTCCTATTGCAGGAGTTTGATGGGAACTGTACCGTGTAGTCCCAATTTCTTCTTTGTGTGGGGCTAATATGCTTAAACCTCAGAGAGACCCTCAGTTTTCCTCCTGCTTTGTTTAAAGTGATGGTGCACAAACATTAGAGTCCACAATCAGTTCTTTCAGCCGCTGATGAGGAACATTCACCTACCTGTTTAAAACAGTATATGCAGAGCCCCATTTTAATTATCAGGGGCTGCTCCCCCTAACGGACTGCGATCCTAACCCTGGCAGAAAAGAACAGCAGGATTTAAGGCTGATGGCCAAATTTGGGGCTTAGAGTGGGTGAGAGGCAATGGTGTGGAGCGAAGCTCAAGTTGCTCTTATTCTTACAAAGCCAGGTTGAATTGCACACACAATAACCTCCAAATATTCATTGTACTTGCTATGAACTGTTGTTGTTCACGTAAATTCTGCTCCAGCTTTTGACCAAAGCCTCTGATGAATGCAGCTTCCTCTCTTGGTGCTGGCTGAGTTAATAGTTGGTACCGGAGCTGAAGGAAAGGCTATGAACAGGCCCAGGATCTGCGGAAAAGGGGGTTATGAAGGCTGGATCCTTTGGTGCAAGTAACAAAGAGCCATCTGAGCGTCCTTCTCAATTACATTACATGTGAGACGCTTTTATCCAAAACGACTTACATACTCAGTACTGTGGACAATCCCCACAGGAACAATTTGGGAGGAAGTGTCGTTGCGTGGAAGTCGGAAACAGTACCGAAGGAGTGGCAGACCGGGGTGGTGGTCCCCCTTTTTAAAAAGGGGGATCAGAGGGTGTGTGCCAATTACAGAGGCATCACACTACTCAGCCTCCCCGGGAAAGTTTACTCTAAGGTACTCGAAAGGAGGGTCAGGCCGATTGTCGAACCTCAGATTGAGGAGGAACAATGCGGATTCCGTCCTGGTCGTGGAACGACGGATCAGCTTTTTACTCTCGCAAGGATCCTGGAGGGGGCCTGGGAATACGCTTATCCGGTCTACATGTGTTTTGTAGACTTGGAGAAGGCGTATGACCGAGTTCCCAGGGAGTTACTGTGGGAGGTGCTGCGGGAGTATGGGGTGAGGGGGTCTCTACTCAGGGCCATCCAATCTCTGTACTCCCAAAGCGAGAGCTGTGTCCGGGTCCTCGGCAGTAAGTCGGACCCATTTCCGGTGAGGGTTGGCCTCCGCCAGGGCTGCGCTTTATCACCAATCCTGTTTGTAATATACATGGATCGGATTTCGAGGCGTAGTCATGGGGGAGGGGGTCTGCAGTTCGGTGGACTAAGGATTGCACCACTGCTTTTTGCAGATGATGTGGTTCTAATGGCTTCATCGGTCTGCGACCTTCAGCACTCACTGGATCGGTTCGCAACCGAGTGTGAAGCGGCTGGGATGAGGATCAGCACCTCCAAATCTGAGGCCATGGTTCTCAGCAGGAAACCGATGGACTGTCCACTTCAAGTAGGGAATGAGTCCTTACCCCAAGTGAAGGAGTTCAAGTATCTCGGGGTCTTGTTCTCGAGTGAGGGAACAATGGAGCGTGAGATGGGCCGGAGAATCGGAGCAGCGGGAGCGGTACTGCAGTCGCTTTACCGCACCGTTGTGACGAAAAGGGAGCTGAGCCAGAAGGCAAAGCTCTCTGTCTACCGGGCCATTTTCGTTCCTACCCTCACCTATGGTCATGAAGGATGGGTCATGACCGAAAGAACGAGATCGCGGATACAAGCGGCCGAGATGGGTTTTCTCCGCAGGGTGGCTGGTGTCTCCCTTAGGGATAAGGTGAGAAGTTTGGTCATCAGGGAGGGACTCGGAGTTGAGCCGCTCCTCCTTCGCGTCGAAAGGAGCCAGTTGAGGTGGTTCGGGCACCTAGTTAGGATGCCACCTGGGCGCCTCCCTAGGGAGGTGTTCCAGGCACGTCCAGCTGGGAAGAGACCAAGGGGTAGACCTAGGACCAGGTGGAGGGATTATATCTCTTCGCTGGCCTGGGAGCGCCTTGGGATCCCCCAGTCAGAGCTGGTTGATGTCGCCAGGGAAAAGAAAGTTTGGGGCTCTCTGCTGGAACTGCTACCCCCGCGACCCGACCACGGATAAGCGGAAGAAGATGGATGGATAGATGGTGTCTTGCCCAGGGACACAACAACACGCTGACTGCAGTGGGGTTTGAACCTGTGACCCCCTGATCCCAACACCAAGGCTCTATCCACTGCGCCACACGCCTCAATGACTCTTCATTGCATAAAGGTGTTCCTCTCCATCTCCAGAGAAGAAATTTAACACAATGGTGCTTTTGAGTATGCCCCAACCCGTACTTTAACCCTGGGCAACTCCAGAATGTACAGCCCCGCTCTAAGTGTTTGCTTTCAGACCCAAATCGATGCGGTGGGCCCGACCATATGTATTTAGTACTGCTCAACCTGCCTCACTAACTCTGCTCAGCATGGCACTGCCTGACCCCAGGCGCTCACTGGCTGCTGGTTTGTCTGTTTGGGGAAAAGTACTGTTCTCCTTTTTGGCCCACTCACATGCCCTGGGGGACCCTAACAGAGCTCCCTGGATCGCGAAGATCCAGGGGGGGAATGTTAATAATATAATGCTCTTGCACTCATTCATCTGCATGAATATTCTGCTTACTTACATGTTTACTTATCAATAATCAAACAGTCTAAAGACAACGGGGTGTTCAAAACAAATTCACAGTTAATTTACTATTTGCTACATACAAGTACATTTTGCTGCTATAAATGCTGGACCTTCATTTGAAGAATGATTTAGAAGAAAGAAGATTTTACTGAACTGTGAAATAAAAATATGTTTAGATAATGAACTAATACTGAATGCCACTTTGTGTGGGCAATATTAAATCTCTGACAACAATGCTTGTATCATCAAAAACATAATAGTAGATAATGATTCTTAAATACCTCCTCTGTACCAACTCAAAATCGCCCCCCCCCCAAAAAAACTATAATTTGCTTTATAACTCAATACAAAGTGGCTTTCTGTAAAGGATTTGAACATTTCTGACACAGCTAAATGTAGCTGTTGTTGATTCTGGCTAATGTTCCTCCACTTGTTCCTGACTTTATCTCTCTGTCTATGTCTGGACTTTATCTCTCTTCTCCTGACAGCGGAGCCACTCACGCCACTCTCCAGGGATCCAACTGGCTGTATGTACACACCATCACACACATGCCACACACTTTGAATTTGTAGCGATTTATCTGGTGGCACTCTTAAATCCACAACAGCAGGACGGTTTCAATGTGAGATGCTAACGTCAGCTCATGCGTTAATGTCCCCCCATGACTGGGGGCCAGCTAATTGAGAATCTTGAGCTGGAGTTGTCTATGCCGCCAACTTAAAATCCCCTCCGATTGAAAACTTCAGGTGCTTAAATAATTTTACTGTGGTTCACACAGAAATAAATAAGTGTTACATTGTTTAGATGTAATAGAACATCCCAAAACATTTTGAAATACAACAACCTTTATTGAGTTTGGATGTTACAGCATCACAAACAATTGAAGATAAAGTATAGAGTATAGAGTTATATAATGCTAAGATAGGAACAAAATACAAAAAACTAACTAACATACCGTCAGGGTTTGTCAGGGAGTTGGACCCAAGAGCAGTACAAAATAAAATGGTGGAAAGATTTAACAAAAATAAATATTTTATTAGGGTCTGAGACCTGAGGTCGGCGAAGACTCTATTGCAACCGCTCGTGCAGCGAGCAATAACGCATCCCTCGCCAATAAACACGATGTTGCCGTTACTCCTATGAAAATGGTCCAAACGGCACCAGACTTCAGACTATCATTAATGGTCAGGCCCTCAACAGCTCTACGCCAATTATGGGGTGTCATCATATGCCGTTTCCATGGCGACAGATCCCTCGCCAAAAAACAGATGATGGCTACTGGTCCGGCCCTCAATAGCTCTATGTCAATTATGGGGTGTCATCATGTGCCGTTGCCATGGCGACAGATCCCTCGTCAAAAAACACGAAGTTGCCGTTACTCCTATGAAAATGGTCCAAACGGCACCAGACTTCACATGATGGCTACTGGTCCGTCCCTCAACAGCTCTATGTAAATTAGGGGATGTCATCATATGTCGTTGCCATGGCGACAGATCCCTCGTCATGAAACACGGTGTTGTCTTAACTCAATGGAAAATGGTCTAAACGGCACCAGACTTCAGATGACAGTTAATGGTCCGGCCCTCAACACAACTCAATATGACAATAGTGATTTTTCCTCAAAAGCTGTTGCCTTGGCAACGCATCCTTCGCCGTTAAGCACGATATTGCTATAACTCCTGTGTTTTTTTCACATGTGTTCTTGTGCTAACGGGCAAGCCCTCGAGACATATATGTGTCAGTTTTGAGATTTCGTCAAATGTCGTTGCTATGGTAACAAAATGGTCGCCGTGAAACACGGTTTTCTCATAACTCCAGTTAACATGCTCCAAACGGCCCAAAACTTCACAGGTTTGATAACGATGTTATCAACACATCTAGGCGTATTATGGGGTGTCATCAAATTATGTTGCCATGGCGACAGATCACTCGCCATCAAACACAATGTTTATGATACTGCTGTAACTCCCATGTACGTTGTCCGATCGACCTGAAACTGCCCACGTTTGCCAACGGCCGATTCATCGAGATATCTGCCTGACGTCGACGTGCGGACAACAGCCTGCGGAGCGTCGAAGACCCGCTTAACGCTGCTTGCAGCTTTAATTTAGATTGATTTAGTGAAACAAGATGATCCATCTTTTACAAATACCACAGCAGCTTAAAAACCTTGTGACCTGTCAAAAAAAACATGATTCTTCTGAGATCAAAGTCAAAATCAGATGTTTTCAAGAGTCTTTGACTTCACAAGATACTTCAGATGCATTGTCTGATAACAAGACCCTATATCTCCCTGCACTGTAACTTCTTAAGTTATTATGTCTTATATCATGACATCATTAGAAGTACAAAAGATAAGCAATGTACAGCTATGGATGTTTAAACACCTAAACAAATCTATATCAGGCAGAGTAGAGATCACAATATTGTCACCACTTCATCTTGCTGTCAGACTTTCCACACTGAAGAAACAACAGTTAATTTTACCAGACCAGTCTCAGTATTGACAATGTTGATTTAGTGATATTTTATAAATGTCTGTCCGTCCCTCAGTCTGTCCCTGATGCCAGCCCTATGAAGCGCTCCGCCTCCACTGTGGCCCCACAGCGGCCCCAGGAGGTCAACCTGAGGGACTACACCCTGGAAAAACCCAGCCAGGACCGGGTCCACCACCACCACCACTGCCACCACCGCAGAGACAGGGACAGAGACAAAGACAGAGAGAGGAGACAGAGGTCTCTGGATGTCCCTCTGGGGGGACAGCCCCCCGGCTCTGCTGGTAAACACACACAGTAGAGAGTTCAGCACACAGATACAACCTTACATTCACAATGTTTCCATATTTCCAGGCATTTGGACCGAGCCAGACTAGAGGCTCCAGGCTTTTTGCTCAGCTTAAGTGTTTTAGTTTAATATATGAGTTAAAGCAAACACCATTTTTGTTTTCATAAATCAGATGTCCACCTACTCCATTAAAAACAGATATTTAAAAAAATAAAAATGAAAGTATTCTAATAGAAACCAATAAGAAAATGCAGACAGTAGGTCCACAGTATATTGATCTTTATTAATACACTGTAATACTGCAAGAAACCCAATGCTGCCATTTTAGCCAAGCTAGCAGTGCTGGACAATCAGAATGTTGATCTCTCAGTCCACCATTTTGATCCAGACTGACACATCTAATATTGTGATGGATTGCTATGACCAGTGATGTAAAGTAACTAAGTACATTTACTAAAGTACTGTACTGGGGTACAATTTTTTGTAATTGCAGTAACCCACCAGCACCCTACCTCTTAATTACAGCCCGTCCACACAGCGGCGTGCGTTGAAGCTTCCAACGCTTCTGCCCATTCACTTTGAATGGGGTGACGTCACTTTTAGCCGAACTGCATTTTGGGAAGCGACGTGGAGCGTAGCTGGCGTCAAAAGTTGAGCAATGTTCAACTTTTGACGCCTCGACGGAGGCGTCAGCCAATGAAATCCCGTTTATTCAAATCTGCCAGTACAATCGCTAGCCAATCAAACCGCGTGTATGCTGGGAGAGACTGCGCAGGTCATTTCCTCATATTCAAAAAAATTGAGGGAAAATTCATTGTAGCGATAGTGAATCACCCGGTGCTATATGATCAGTCTCTGTTGATCTACCGGGATACAAACCGGAGGAGCGAGGCATGGAGGGAGGAGGCAGAGACAGTGGATGCAACTGGTAGGTTTTAGCCTGTTTGGGGATTTTATATCCAGTTTACTTCGTTTTAACATTGCTATTGCTTTGTATGTCGGGGGCGGGAGATTCATGTGATTGGTTGTTGGTCGTGTTGCTCGCAAAAAATCCCCAAGCTTCAGATACGCCCACCTCCAAGCGTCAACGCACGCTGCTGTGTGGACGCTCCGTTAGGGTCCAATAGTGTCTTATTTAAAGGACCACATGTTTTACCAAAGCAAAGTCTACGGGTTTGCATATGTTGTTTATCTTTTATCTTCTACTGTTCATGTGTGTATCTTTATTGTTTTTTATTTGATTTTATGTTTACTTTGATTTTATTTTATCTAGGTCTCATTCATGTGCAATCTATGTTGCTGTAACGGAAAAAAAATCCAAAACTGGGATAAATAAAATATGTCTTATCTTATCTCACTGCAGCAGCAGAAGCTAAATATTAAAACATTCTCTCAGGAAGGCCCAAAGATGTTAGTGCTGACCCAGTGTTGGCAGCAGTAACTGATTGTGACTGTGGTATCACCTCAAATTAATACAGTGTGTTTAGAACAGTGTGTAAATAGAAGTAGAAGAAACTTGTGTTTCTCTGTCACAGTTCTGAATGCTATCTCTTTTTGAAATGTTTACATTGAAGGCCTAACAACCCAGTCAATGTGATTAGACTGGGTTTGCTCACTCAGCTATGTTGAACACAGCAGATACCCTCAGTGTTCAGATGCTGAGTTATGTGACTTTAATGTTAGGCTCTAGTTATATATTTTATAACTATTAACTATATGACGAGTCAAGTGTCTGTGAATAAGGACTCCAGAATCTACTCAATGGACAGAAATATACACATTGACAACATATTTTTATAATAAGTTGTGCATAGATTATGTAACCTTTATACATACACACGTGTTACATTTATAAATGTAAAACCCCCCCCATAACGTCATCAGTGCATTCCATAGAGCTGAGCCACCATTCGTTGGCGTAGGACAGGGGTATTCAACTAAAATTCGACGAAGTCCAGTTAGAGAAAATGTCCCCGTGCAAAGGTCCGGAACTTCAAAATGTCTAACTTTCTTTATGAATTAGTGTGATATATATTGATATATATTGTAATCAACAACTGACTGCCAATCAAATAAAGAAAGTACAATTCAAAACCAACAATATTTATTGTAAATTAACATTGAACTATACAGATATACAGTAAATACTGTGGATATGTGTAATGTTCCTCTTGAGCTGCATTTTAAAATAAAATAGAGAAAATAAATAAAATAGCTTTTGAAAATGTGTGCATCTTAAAAGTGCTTAATTTTAGATAAATAAAATAAAGTGTAGCAGCAGCTTGAGTTTCTCTTTTTCTTTGTTAACCGTTTCACATCATGACTTAACAGTTTCAGACGATTATAGAACAATATCAGTCTTTACACATCATAACAATTGAACAGTTTTAAAGTTTCTCTTTCTTTCCCTCTTATATTGCAGTCCATCACTCACTTTGTTCTGTTCAGTGCGAGAATTGAGCTTGAGCTTGTCCTGCCAGGAGTTTGTAAATCTGGGCTGAAATTGTGTCAGGGCCATTCTGTGTGTACACTTGCAGGTGCTCATTGGTTAGCCTCGATTAGCCTGCCCTGGAACCATATTTAGTTTTAATTTTGATCCTGGTGGACTGATCATATTGGGCTCTGAGACTGCTTATTTTTTGTGACCTCAGTTCTGACTTTGAATGAGCGCCACGGTCTCTGAACAAATGAGACACACTGGTTCTGTGCTCCCAGTGGGCAGGATGAACATGAACGAGTCCACTCAGGGTTAAAAGCTCTGTTCTCACTGTCCACTTTCCTCTTCTTGGAGAGCGCCATGTGTAATTATTTGTCTTTTCCTGTCTGCCGCTAACACGCCTGTTCACTCTCCTCTCCGCTTCTCTCCCTGTATCGCTAACTCTTCTCTTCACTCACTTTCCTCTCCGCTTCTCTCTGCCGCGCTCTCATCTCTTCTTCTGTGTTTCTCTCCCTGTATCGCTCATTCGTCTCTTCTTCTGTGTTTCTCTCCCTGTATCGCTCACTCGTCTCTTTCGCTCCCTGTAGGCGGCGGTTAAAATAGAATCGCCCCGTCAAAATTGAAATCCCCTATTAATATATTGATTATAGGTCCGTATAGGTTGGCATCTGGGTCCGGATCCGGACCGCGGTCCGCCTTTTGCCGACCCCTGTCGTAGCAAGAGCAGTCCAAAATATATTGGATATTCTAGGTCTGACATTTTGAAGTTATTTCGAGTCCACACCTCGTAAAACACACAACTTTTGCCTCTAGACCAGTATGGTAAATATTCCATGGGTAAAAGGTCAAAAATGATTTTATGCCACTCTGAGATTGTGGGTGGTTTATTCAAGATCCTTTTAGTAATATACTCTTACGTTCTGCATAGGTTAACACATTCAGTCGGCTAATATTTTCCTATAAATCTGCTTTAAGTGTGGTGTTCCCTAACAGAAGACATAGTGGATCAAAATCCAATTATTTATTGAAAATATAATACATTTTGAAACAACTTTAGCCCAAAAATCCTGAATATGCACACAGGTCCATATAGTATCTAAATAAACGACCCACTTCCTTCTTTCACTTCCGTAAAGCGGATTTCTTTGGGTCCATCTTATTCCTGAGTTGAGGCAATATCTGAAGATAATGTAACACCCTAAATTGTAGTTCCTCATTTACATATGTTAGCATTTTCTCAAATATATTTGTTCTTGTATCTTAATCTATCTCTACCCCAAGGTCTCAGGCCCACATTTGCAAGACTTCCTTATCTACTTTTCAGGACTTAGATAGAGCTTCATAGCACTGCCTCACTATATACTGATAACCATGTTATTGTATGTTATTAAACAAATGTTGGGTGATAATTCCAGATAAAATGTATACCCCGTTTGAGTCTGTATAAAACGTCTTACGTGTGCCTAATCTCATTCTCAAAGTGAAGACAGTAAAGGTACGATGGCCAACATAATGCTCAGAACCAAACATGATATTCCTCTACATTGACCTCCTCAGGGGCGGCAGGAGAGCAGGAGTCTGACCCGGCGCCCCCCAGGGAGCGAGCCCCCGAGCGCGGCCGCTCCCATGACAGGAAGCACCACTCCTCCCCCGACAAGCAGCGTTACTACTCCTGCGACCGCTACTGCAGCCGGGAACACTGCCACACCAAATCTGCAACCGCCAGCTGTGCCGCCTCCCCCAGCGAGGGGCAGGACACCAGCAACAAGCAGGTGGGGGGGCATCGGCATGGAGAGTAGGGACAGAGAAGGTGATAGACAAGCATTACACCAGGGGGAGGGGATTTCCTCTGACAGGGTTCACTAGCTCCACTGCTCCCCCTCAGAATGGTAGAAAACTCCACTAGTGAAGATTGAAGAACTCTAAAAGTCATCTATCGCAGCTGCTCAAAGTAAACTTTATTGTCAATCTTCCAGTTTGTGTGTGCAGACAGAGAGATTGAAATACTGTTTCCCACAATCCTGAATATAAAAACAAATGTATATACAAATTAGGGCCGGGACTTTAACGCGTTAATTAAGATGAATTAATTACACAAAAATTAACGCGTTAAAAAAATTAACGCATTTTAATCGCACTTATTTTTGCACCGCGGAACGTTTCTCACTGGATGAGTTTCAGGCGTACCGATTATACTGGAGCACCAACTAACGTTCATGACTTCAGACAACAACAAACCACAGTGAACAACAGTGGGAAATGTTGTTTTAAAAAACGGACGGATGGAAGCGTCGATAAGAGCACGGTTGTGTGCAAATTATGCAAAAAGGAATTCGCATATCACCGCAGCACATCAAGCCTCAAGTATCACCTCAATGCAAAAACATATAGCATTTAGCGTGGAAGCTAGCGTGGACGTTAGCCTCTTTTATCGCGTTCACATCAAAAAGAGCCGGTACTAAAATTAGTTCATGAGAACCTTTTTACCCCCACGAAAGTCCCTGCTAGAGAGCAGAGAGCTGCTAGAGAGCAGGGACTTTCGTACCGCTCTCTTGTGAGAAAAGAGCTATATTTCTGATTGGCTGGGCGGATTGCAAACCACGCCCCGTAAAACTCCCAAAAAGTTTTGTGAAGCCGCCATTTTATTATCCTCGCATTAGCATTATTAGCATTACCATTATCCCAGCGCAGAAACGCAGAGAGACTAATTTATGGTAACACAAAATAAAACATGGGAGCGGTGGAGATGAGGAGGTGTCGGCGTTCTGGCGATTTACTCGGAAGGCTGCTGGGAGTCCCAGCAGCTTCTACTGAAGCCAGTCCCCAACTCCGGGGACTTCCGGCCGGGGACTTTGGGCGGCAGTATACGCCGTGAAGTGGTTTGCGGCCTGCCAGTAAACCCAAAGCAGAAGAAGAAGAAGTGACGTCAGCGGCTTCATTTGCCTAATCCTCCCCCAGGTTCAAAGAGTTCTCATGAACTAAATTCTCATGAACCTTTGTGGGAAAAGTACTGCGGTGTGAATGCGCCTAATGGTATACTAAAATCCATGTGAAAAAAATTGCTTCTCACTGTTCTCAGGTCAAATATTTATTTGTGATTAAAAATGCGATTAATTTCGATTAATTAATTACAAAGCCTCTAATTAATTAGATTAATTTTTTTAATCGAGTCCCGGCCTTAATACAAATATAAAAATATGTGTGCAAATATGTATGCAAATATGTATATATATATATATATTAGGGCCGGGACTGATTAGGCGCATTCACACCGCAGTACTTTTCCCACAAAGGTTCATGAGAACTTAGTTCATGAGAACTCTTTGAACCTGGCCGTGGATTAGGCAAATGAAGCCGCTGACGTCACTTCTTCTTCTTCTGCTTTGGGTTTACTGGCAGGGCGCAAACCACTTCACGGCGTATACTGCCGCCCAAAGTCCCCGGCATAAGTCCCCGGAGTTGGGGACTGGCTTCAGTAGAAGTTGCTGGGAGTCCCAGCAGCCTTCCGAGTAAATCGCCAGAACGCCGACACCTCCTCATCTCCACCGCTCCCATGTTTTATTTTGTGTTGCCATAAGTTAGTCTCTCTGCGTTTCTGCGCTGAGCTAATGCTAATGCTAATAATGCTAATGCGAGGATAATAAAATGGCGGCTTCACAAAACTTTTTGGGAGTTTTACGGGGCGTGGTTTGCAATCCGCCCAGCCAATCAGAAATATAGCTCTTTTCTCACAAGAGAGCCGTACGAAAGTCCCTGCTCTCTAGCAGCTCTCTGCTCTCTAGCAGGGACTTTCGTGGGGGTAAAAAGGTAATTTTAGTACCTGCTCTTTTTGGTGTGAACGCGATAAAAGAGGCTAACGTCCACGCTAGCTTCCACGCTAGCTGCTATATGTTTTGCATTGAGGTGATACTTGAGGCTTGATGTGCTGCGGTGATATGCGAATTCCTTTTTGCATAATTTGCACACAACCGTGCTCTTATCGACGCTTCCATCCGTCCGTTTTTTAAAACAACATTTCCCACTGTTGTTCACTGTGGTTTGTTGTTGTCTGAAGTCATGAACGTTAGTTGGTGCTCCAGTATAATCGGTACGCCTGAAACTCATCCAGTGAGAAACGTTCCGCGGTGCAAAAATAAGTGCGATTAAAATGCGTTAATTTTTTTAACGCGTTAATTTTTGTGTAATTAATTCATCTTAATTAACGCGTTAAAGTCCCGGCCCTAATATATATAATAGAAATTAGGAAAATATAGATTAAGACATTTGTGGAACCTGATCAAAATCACTTAAGTAAAAGTAGAAGTACCAGAGTTTAGGAATTAGTTTCAAGTAAAAGTCCTGCATTTAAAATGTAACTCAAGTAAAAGTACAAAGTATTAGCATCTAAATATACTTAAAGTACCAAAAGTGAAAGTAGTCGTTGTGCAGATTGGTCCATTTCAGAATAATATATATGATATGTTTTATAATGATTGATCATGAAAGTGTTCTCAAAGCTGGTAAAGGTGCAGCTAGTTTGAATGACTTTGTATACTGCAGGGTAGCTTGTGGATTTACTCCAGGTGGAACTAAAGTCTGATTGAAGACTTGATTATATTTTACATCATTAATACAAATCTATGAAGTCGTAATTGTACTTAAGTACAGTACTTAGTTACTTTAAACCACTGCTGACACTGACTATGAAAGGGTGCCTTATACCACCGCAATACAAATGCTGCACACCAGAGTGTGTTGAATGTGGAGGAGGAAGAATAGGAGACAGATAATGATGATGGTTGAAGTGTTACTGTGCTCATGTTTCCTGCTCTGCTGCTTCCTGCTCAGTGCAGTATCTCATGGCTTTCCCTTATTTTCCCCTCTTTCTCTTTTCATAATTTTCCATCCAATTTGTCTGTCTGTCATTACCTTTATATTAGTCCTTTTTCTTTCCTTCTGTCTTCTCATGATTTTCTCTGCCATTGTTCATGTCATCACACATCACATGTTGGTGTTTTTCCTTTCCTTCCTCCGGCCCTCGCGGCCCTGTCTCTTTTTCTTTTCCCTCTTACATTATTTCCTCATCGTTCTATCACTTCAAATTGCTTGTTCAATTTTCATCTAGGGCAGTGGTTGGAATAAAGGCGACCCAGTGGCACTGAGTTCCAGTTCTAGAACGTCAAGCCGTGGACGCCGGCTTCTCCCTCAAACCCCCCTCACCACGCGGCCCGGGGTGGCTTATAAGACTGCCGCCTCCTCTCCTGTGCACTTTGTGTCCGGCCGGCTGAGCCGCGACCTGTCGGAGCACAACGCCCTGCGGCACAGCGGCTCCCCCCACCTCCCCTGTCCCGTCACTCGCATCAACTCTGAGCCCTTCCTTGGCGGGGGCCACAGCAAGGCCCCCGACAGCCTCTATGGCAGCCTTCGGGACCAGCTGGACGTTTTTCAGGATACGGTGTCACGGTCGCCCAGCCCCCGTGCCGGACGCTCATCTCGGACCGCACTTCCTCACATGATAGGAGACGTATTTCCCGCTCAGCAGGAGAACCTCGGGGTGCCCAACGGGTTCCACTTCAGCTCCGGGGGCAGCAGCAGCCCTGGCTCTGGGGTCCCCAGGTATTACCAGGAGGCAGAGGAGGACGAATGGTGCTAGCATGGCTTTAACCCAACCTTCTTAATGCATCTTTGAGGATTTGTGATGAGTTTTATCATCTTCTTTTCTTTGAAGGTTTCAGTTTACATTGTCGATGTGTGTGTTCAATGCTGTGTTTTAATCCTAACTTGGAGAGCAAAGGGTAGGGAGAACATCTAAACAGGGAGAAAGCTTGGAATATTCTAATGTGAACAAAAAAAGTGTAATCTTTACGAAAAGACACAAAGCATTATGAAAGAGTAGGCTGTATATTGGATGTCTTACAGCAGCTGTCCTTTACTTTGACTTCAGTATTTTGTTGACACCAAAATATTGACCCTCAAACAGCATAAGATAAACACAGACTGTACAACGGTGAATTCTTCAGACGTTGGAAAACAGACCGGAGGATTGAAATAAATGTTTGTTTGGTGTTAACTACCAGATCTGCTGATCACATTCATTATGTGCTCTGTATCCCAGGCAAACCAAAGTGGTGATAACTGAACAGCAAAGAGAGGTGCCTCAATTTTACATACAACAATTTTCAAAAACCTAAAACTGCATTATTTGTTTTTCCCCCTCCAATTCGGGGGTAGCACAACAACCTGTGAATACAACATAGACATATTATTACGTTTTTATAAAGTTTAAAAAGCTTAAGGCGCAGAGAGCTCCATGCTAGATGAGATTACTGCGGCACATGACTGTAGTCAGATCACTGCTGACACAAATGGTCTTAGAACATGTGGCAGCACCGCTTCACTCTGTGCACCACAAACATCATCATGGAAGAGACACATGCAAAAATAACCTTTGCATTATAATATGAACATGGCTCACCAACTCTATCGGCAGGTTAGAACTTCACCTCCTCAAACTTCAAAATGACAGCCAATAGCACAACACAACATGTAACAGGCATTAAGCTAAAGTAGAGTTCCTTATTGATTCTAGCTGTAGCAGCAGGTTTTAAAGCGTTTGAGAGTTAATATGGGGGTTTCAGCTTAAAGAAATGGAACTGCAAGTCATGGAAACAGGACAGAATGATCAATAGTTACTCAACTACTGATCATTGACTACTGACTACTACTGACTTGAATGAAAGCATGATAGTGTAGGAACAGCTGTGTTGGTCTTTAGTTTAGAACTCTACCATTCCATGATGATGCCTATTCCTTTATGACATTCCTTTTGTGTCAGTGGAACAGACAGGTGCTGTCGTACAGGCAGCGCTGATTGTTTTGTCTGTCAAAGAGAGAAGCAACGCTTCAGTACAGGACTGACAATTTGTTTTATATAAAAATGTCCTAGATTTGATTTGATTTCTTTTTCATTGTGGACATTTTTTATATTACATGAAAAATACAAAGGTGTGGTTTATGTGAACTGCTTACGGTTTGCCATTGTTTCAGGTCAAATGTTTCTTACAAACATTATTTGCGATGTTTTAAGACAAAGTGCCTATCCTTCTAGATATACTGTAAAAAAAAAGATGCAATGTCAACTGTTTTCAAATGCATCCTCACTTGAGTAGGTGTTTTGTGCATTCCTTATGTAGCAGTGCAGGAAAACATGTTGTACAGAAAGCCTTATCTGCAAGACGAGAACTCTACCTACTGTGTGCTTCAAAGGCAGGAATGGAAAAATTACCTGATGAAAGAAGATTGTTTTTCTTGTTTTTGATAAATCACAAAATCTTGCTTCTGAGGAGGAATTAGAGCAGGGCCGGCCCGTAGCACTGGCATTATAGATGTTCGCCTAGGGCGCCAGATCTGGGGAGGCGCTGCGCTGGTAGCTCTGGAAGTGAAAAAAACATTTTTGACCGATGGTGCTCATCCTAATTTTCGGCCTTGATGTAATAATATTCATAATTAAGTAAATGTAACACCCTTTTCACCCCGGTTACACTTTTCATTTGCCCTTTACGATGAAGTGATGAAAATGGGGGATTATCAGGTGCCCGCAGCTCACAGCCAAAGTGCGAGTGAGCGTGGGATCGAGCGAGGGAGAGAGGGAGAGAGGGAGGGTGCACCGGTACCGGCGCTGTTGTTATTAGAATCTGGTGCTAGCTGCCAGATAAAATCTCACCTAGGGCAGCACATTGTCTAGAGCCTGCCCTGAGTTAGAGTCAGCTTTGTGAAAACATTATGCGTGCATTCAACACTTTAAACTTCATTGTAACGTGCCAGTAACGCACTATGCATGTTCAGATGAAAGGCCTGGGTCTTGGTGAGCATGGTGTGCTAGCTAGCTGCTTCACTGGACTGAAGAGTGTGTGGGTTAGCTGAGTGTGTGGGTCAGCTGGGTGTGTGGCCCCCAAAGAGCCCGCTTCAGTGACTCAACGCACACTTCTTAAAGTGTGCGTTGTGATTCAGACCCAGAGTAGCAAAGGGTGATCTCTTTACTGCTATTTGATTCAAGTTGGGTCCTGTGTGTGTGTGTGTGTGTGTGTGTGTGTGTGTGTGTGTGTGTGTGTGTGTGTGTGTGTGTGTGTGTGTGTGTGTGTGTGTGTGTGTGTGTGTGTGTGTGTGTGTGTGTTAAAATAGTTAATCTCTGATTGATGCAATTTTACTGGCGATCCTGTGTGTCGTGTTTTTGTCTTTTTCCATACTTGTGGATTACGTGCAAAACATGTATGTTGTGATGGGCTATCAAGATATTGCAAGCATGTGTTGACATCAGTCTTTGGTGTCAGTATGGAAAAGGTGTTCTCCTCTAGCTGCCAGTTCGTAACGTTCCCAGGTACCATCAAAGAGAGTGACTAGTAGAAGAAAACAAACCATTATACATTAGCAACATTAGCTTCGTCCCAATTCCATACTGCATACGAAGGCAGATGGTATGTGTTGGTATATTCACAGAAAGATAACTTAAAGATGTGATAATGGAAGGAAATGTGCTTGACTTTTTGGTGTGCTAATGGACAATACTTTGCACACGATGGCACTTAAGGTGCACATAATTACAAAAAGCTGTTGTCTTGGCCTCTGCATATAATATCAATCAACTTTCTTAAAAAAAAATGAACTTTATCTTATTTTACAGTATGACAATTTAGAAGCAAATTATGACTGTGTTCAGAGATGATGCCTAAAGAAGCAAAATGAGGTACATTGGTAAAGAGGTGTTTAATTGTAGCTTAAGCATATAATCATTTCCTAACAGAGAAAAATGATAAAGCACATCTATTTATTATTATTATTATCTGAAAAATAATATAGGGCTGGATACTGATTTGTGAAGTTAGGACTAGTTAAATGTAATTGTAAAAAATGGTATAAGGGCCAGGCATAAAGAAAACTGAGTTGAATTGAATTCATATTTTAATGTGTCGGAATGTCAAGAATAAAGTTAAAATGTCAGACTAAAGGAAACAAATACAACCATTGTTTTTGTTTTTTACATTTTGAGAATAAAGTCAAGAAATTGAAAATGAAGTTGACATTTGAAGATCAAAGTTGAACCTTTGGGAATAAATTATATCCTGAAAGTTTGACATTATTATAGAATTGAGAATCGCACAATTCTGAAAATTGTAACTTGATTCTTGCAACAAAAAACAAAAAAATGGTGCATGTAATTGTTTTTCCCCTTTTGCCTGGCCCTAATAGTCTTCCGTATATGTATGACGTACTTAACAGGACATGTTGCAGGGTAGGCCTCAGTATCTGGCTCTCTGGTGGACAAACTGTTGTTTGAGGGAGCCTTTGAGTGGTCCTACTGGCAGACCTGCTACCCAATGATCTCTGCTTCCACTTTGAAGATAAATACTTGTAAATTGAACCTCTGCAGCAGCTGATTGGTTTGTTGAGAAACACTGAGCAGGTATGAGGAGAGAGCTGTTGAAGCACAGTAACACACTCCAGGGCCCGTCACACCTGAAGACAGGAGAGTGCCCCTCTCCTGTCTTCAGAATGGGCTATGCAACAAGAGAAACCCATTCCCATCCTTTCTGTAGCTTTACATGCTGTCTCTTCAGATCCAGGCTTCAGCATGATATTGACCAAATGTTTTGTAGAAAATGCTATGAAAAAAAAATGCAAACAACGAGGACTTAAAATGAATAAAGGCACACAATGTAAACAAGGAACAGATAAAATATTGAGGATTTCAACAACTTTATACATATATTTGCATGCATAACATGTACGACAACATCAAAGGGAAATGTCATTGCTCGGAATGGGAGGGAGTGTGTCCTTTTAGATCACAATAAAAGTTTTTTTTATGAACTGTGATCCCTTCAAAGTGATTCATTTATTTGAAAGAAAACATTGTTTTCACGTAGACATATTCTTACAGAAAAGCTGTGAGGCAAGTGAGAAAAAAAAGGCATTATCTCAGTCTTGATCCAAGCTGTTTTCTCTCCTGTGTTTTTTACTTCACAACATGAGTTGTTTTTTTTCATCTTGGAGAACAGGTGGAAAAAGATGAATGTGTTTGTCATTAAAATATTCCTTCCAGCAACAGCAGGCTGATGTGCACCATCATCTGAATAGGACTATAATCATTCATCTTTTCTCACATGCACTCTCAACACAATATATCGTTTGTCACCAAGACATGACAGTAATGTTACATAACTTGCTAACATGAAACAACCCTGTCTCCTAAAAATTACGTTCCCACAGAACTAAACTGCATTCTGAATTACGTTTAGCTTGAAACGTATTTACTCCCACGTTACGTTCGTTATGAACGTATCTAAAATACGTTTATTTTCTACATATCTTCTAGAAACGTATTTTCTCCCACGTTACGTTCGTTATGAACGTATCTTAAATACGTTTATTTTCTACATATCTTTGCCATTTATTGTCTTGCTTATAATAATGATAATAGTCATTTATAAATATCATTTTAGAGCACACCTTTGAAATCGAGAATCAGGCTCGATATATGGTTAAATTAAAATCAGTAGGCGAGGCTGTAATTTCGCCAGCTGTTACTCTCATGAGCGAGGCAGAAAATAATAGTTTTAACATGACAAAAAGCTGCTGTGTCGTTTACCTCAAACATTAAAACAAATCCAGAGTTACGTGTTTCTGTACTTCCTCTAAGAAGAAAAGACAGTAAAAGAAGAGCTCTGTGGCTTCAGGCTTGATCGCCGTTCAAATGACAGCGTTGGTTTCCCCAAAAGTGGGCGGGGCTGTAAAGTGGCGTAGATTTTACTATCATCTATTATTCAAAACCATTCTATGTATTCTAACGTAAATTACATGCCAGTGTTTTATCTTTTTATTTATTTGTTTTTATTTTAAATCGTATAAACGTCTGTGAGGAAAATAAATGGGGTTTAGAGCCTCAAAATACTGAAATCTGTATTTTTTAAAATCTTTTCCTTCTAATTTGTTCTTCTTTTCTAAATAACACACTGTTATTTACTCAACAATAACACACAATTATCCTTGTTTTTATTTATTTGTTTAATTCTATAATCTTGGGCTTTTTAGCCGTAAATAAAGTCACCAGAAACAGACGGGACATTTCGAGATTTAGGATGGCCGAAGACACTACACTACCCATAATCCCCAGCTATCGTTTGGGACTACAGTCCCGTTGACAAACCCCGTGATGTTGGAGTGGTAGTGCGCCAAGGTTACGCCGAGCGTCAAGCTCTTTGAAATGGAACGAAACCACGGCAGACTATTCAAAACTGGACTCGAACGCCCCCCGAGAAATACACATGCTGGCTATTGTGTTTCGCAACATGTTCTCTATGGCACGTCTCTACTGGGAATTGTAGTTTTAAAAGACGTTTTTCCCAAAATTAGAAGTTGCCAGTATTAAACTGTGTACACAGTGGCGTTTCTAGGTGTACAAAACTGGGGGGGGCAGAAAGAGGTCGGGGGAGAGAGAGAGAGAGAGGGGGGGGGACAGAGAGAGGGAGGAGAGAGAGAGGGGGGACAGAGAGAGGGGGGGAGGAGAGAGAGAGGGGGAGTGTCAAATTACATACTGAAGACCACAGGAGCAACACTGTGAGCGCATACATTTACGTACACAGCGTGGGGATGTCATAGTAATGCACCTTCATACATGGAGTAAAGGTCACCATCACAAAGTAATTCTTAACAATAACAACAACCGTAATGCTTTAGCATTAAAACACCATAGACTGTAAATATAAGGAAAACACAGACACTCATCATCGAGGTCACAATATCAATCGATCCAGCAGAGGCAAAACACAGAAGATCAACAAAATATATGACATAAATGAACTTACCAAAGCTGAAGGCTCACTTGAAAAGAAAAGCGGCACGGCGGTCCTTCCTCTGACAGAATGTGTCTATCACTTTGGGGATGAAGTCCTGTAGTTGCTGGATCAACTGGCTTTCAATTGAAAGCATGGCCAATGCGTTAAGTCGCGGCTGTCCCATGGTGTTGCGAGTGAAAGTCTTTATCCTTTTGAGGGTGGAAAAGTTCCTCTCTGACTCGGATGTCGTCATCGGAGTTGTCACTATTATTTTGACCAAAATAACAGTCTCAGCAAACGTTTCCTCCAAGTTGTTCTCGTGAATGGATTTCAACAGAGACAGGGCAGTGTTTCCAGTGTGAAGCTCACTGTGGCGGTAGAGCGTGGTCAGCTCAGACTTCAACTTCTCCTTGTTTCCCAACGCAGGCCACAGTTTCACGGCGCAGTCAAGCTCAGGTGTAGGAAATGACAGGACATGCTGTGGGAAGAATGAGCTGTCAACAAGCTTTGCAGCGATCAAATGGTCACTCTGTGAGAACCTCTGTTCCACCTGTGAGATGACTGTGTCACAAGCCTCCTTCATCACCGGCGCTGTGCTGCTGACTCGTCGGCCTGGCTCGTCTGTTCCATCATGAGCAGTGGCGGCCAATGCATCAGTTTTCTGCCTCATTTTCTGAACATTTTCCTTGAAACGGCAGAGCGCGCTGTTGATCCCAGGTGCATCGATGCTTCGTTTTTGCAGAGTGTTGTATAGAACATCCACTTCTGGCATAAGCAACGAAAAAAACTCCAGGAGCTGCATAAATGCTCGGTCCCGCAGTTTCTTTGACAGGCCGTATGCCTCACTTATGGTGACCGCATCCCATCCTGGTTGTGCACGTATATGCTTCATACACTGAAGTAGTGCATCTCGGGTCTCCCAAACCGCGTTCACAGTTCTGCTTTTAAAGTTCCATCTCACAGCCGGTGGCCGTGGTATGCGTCTCTGTGTTGCCTCTGCAAGAGCTGCAACACGTTTTGGAGCACCGGAGAAAAAAGTGGAAAAAGCAGTTAGATCTGCAAAAAACACCTTCAGGATGCTCATCCTTGCTGAACACAGTTGCTGCAGGGTCAGGTTCAGTTGGTGGGCGTAGCAGTGAACAAACTGAGCGTTTGGGTACGTCTCCTTCATCACCGTCTGTACCCCGCGCACGTTACCGCTCATGACGGCCGCCCCGTCATAGGTCTGAGCGATTAGCTTTTCTTTCAGCTTCAGGGGTTCCAGAACAGCCTTGATGCTGTTAGAGAGACCTACACCAGTTTTGTCCTTTACTTCCACAAACTCCAAAAAACGCTCTGTAACTGTGAGGTCAGGCATAATGTATCGCAGCACAATCACCATTTGCGATTTACAGGAGACATCGGTTGTCTCGTCGGCCTGAACGGCAACAAATGATGTGTTGTCCACTTGCTTGGCTATTTCCTCCCTGTACACATCATACATGCAGTCCAAGAGTTCATTCTGTATGGTGCTTGATGTCCCTTTGAAAACAAGCTGAGCTTCGTAGTGCCGTTGAAGCCTGGAATCGCCCTCACACATTGTCTCGAAAATTGACCTGAATATCCCTGGATTCAGAGAGTCCGCCGACTCGTTGTGGCCCCGCAGTGCTGTCTCACATTTCCCACACAGTTTAATACAGGTGATGATCCGACCAAGCACGTACCTGTTTTCTTCCACCTTCCTATTATGATCATCAATGCCGCGTCTGTAGGCGCTGTCAATCTGAGCTGCAACATTCACCCTTCCAAGTAATCCCAATTTTACGGCATTTTCCAAATGACTGTTGCTGCTCTCATGCTTCATTGTCCTCTCCGAAAGATGCTTGAAGTCCTTGTAACCTGTCCTCGACCAAGTACCTTGATCTTCACCAAAAAGCAGGCAAGGAAAGCAAAAGAGGGAATTCTTCTGGATGCTCGCCGTTAGCCATTTCTTTTTAGCAAACCACTCAGCGTTAAACCCACGTTTAACTTTGCCCGCAGTCTGGACCATTTGGAAATCCGGTGGATGGTGGGCACCGAGGCGCTTTACCTCCAGTTTCTCTCCGAGACTAAGTGTCTCAAATGTGTGCTCCAGTAAATGGTCAACTTCATTCATTTTCTTTCAGTTTTTTACTTCTTTTAATCGCTGGTGATGTTAGCTATATGCTACTCTCTCGTCTCCTCTTCAAACTACACGTGACGTTTCGCAGCACTGCACACGTGAGTACTTACAGCCAATCAATTCTGAATTATGTGAGATGACGTATGGTGGGGATGGGAGCACTATGCCCCTACGGTCATTATTTTTTTGCCACACACATTAAATAGAAAAATACTCTGAGCATGCGCAGTGTAGTTTTTACAATCACCGTTCACTTAGACTGTGAGAGGGAGGGGCAGGATCGGGTTTTGTCCCACATGGCTCTAAACAGCTCAAAACGGCACTCTAGACACTAATTAGAAGAACACAGACTAAAACAGAAATGTACAGACGAATCAGATTATTAAACATGACCTTAAAATATATTTTATATGTTTTTTTATTTATTTTTTAGTATTTTTTTGTAATCATTATTTGTAATACTTTCTTCTGACACTAGGTGGGGCTGTGCCCCACCTGCCCCTAATGACCCGCCGCCACTGTGTGTACAGCCCTGGAGGTTTAGGCGATAGGAAACACATTGGTGTGTACACATTTAAAACAAACGTAACGTGGGAGAAAATACGTTTCTAGCTAAACGTAATTGAGAATGCAGTTTAGTTCTGTGGGAACGTAATTTTTAGGAGACAGGGTTGCATGAAAAAGGAAATTGACCGGGCATCACTATTAGCAAATGGATCCTAAAATGTCTTCTCACTTTCCTTTCAGCGCATCTTTTGCAGATGCATTACTTAAGAGATTTCTCACACTTTGGCAAAAAATGGTTAAGAATATGTATACCTTCTATGAGACCTCTGTACTGAGTTTAAAAAATGTATTTGTGCCCAAGTCTGGACCAACCGGCGGCCAAACATTAGGAGCGATCCAATCGCTCTTACCATTGGCAGTGTACTGTAGATGTGGCTTTTTGATGAGAACATTTTTTTTTTGCATGTTCTGATAATGTATGTGCATGTAGACTAATTAGTACTTTTAGATACTTGTGTTATTTTGTTGTTGATTTTTAATATTTTATATAAACTGTGGGGTTTGTTGAAAAGACACATTTCTATGATCAACAGTATTGAACATGTTGACAGTTCCCGCGCAGCAGAGCTGGAACACTTCCTTTGGCTCTTTGGATTCAGAAATGTTTGTTCGCCTGATTTTATGTTTCTTGGTCAGACTTTGAAGTCTGCTGTTGTTTCTACATTAAACCTTTTGTATGAAGCAAAGTTCCTTGAAATAAAAAAAGATGAAATGAAAGTGCCTCTGACTCTCTGAACTGTTTGAGTGTTGGGATGCAGCTGTGGTCCACT